TTCCAGGTTCCGATCGCACTTTCTCCTTGTCGTCTGCTAGGCAGAAAGCATTCATCGCCACAGCACTTGCCAATGTTTTCTTCACCGGCTTTTCTGGGTTTCTCTTTCAGTACAAAGATTCCCCGACTTGTGGAAACGGGTCCGCCAAACATCCAGCAAAGAGATATACTGAGCTAAGCAGAATTAGCGCAAAATTTCTGACACAAGAGAAAAAAACACGAACAGGCGTCTGTCCGGTTAATTAAAGTAATCTACCTATACTCCGTTTCATAATAATTTGGCGAACTGTGGAGGCTGCGGCCCCCGTAACCAAATAAGAGTGCCGGAGCAATACATGTGATAACTTTCCATGGTCGAGGCCACGGGGGCCTCGTTACCGCCCCAGCAACAGCGCCGCCCACGACAAAAAGTAGTTCCAGGCTTGCTTTTCTTTTAACGGCAATTGAACTCTCGCAATTCTATCTCTAACGAGAAGATATGAAGAATAATCACAAATTTATGAGTTTCATTTATATTTAAACCAAAAAAAGTGACACCACACCCATATTTGCTCGATTTTTTTCTCCTTGTAGCGCCGTCGCCGTTTCCGCTTGGCAGTTTCCACTCAAAACATTGCCAGTGCCCTGACATTAGCACCCATCGCAGATTCGTGGCTAAATTGAGTGTGTGGTTGTCTCATGAACTGTTTTTAAAGTGCTTGGTATTCTAGCGGATGGAAATGTTGCTTCGGTGGACGTCATCCAAAGTTGGTTGGTTTCAGAGCAGACAACAGCCGCTTTCTCCGGACGTCGTGCCTCGCATTTTGCGTAGTGACTTAAATGCTCCCACAACGTCGGGTCACAGTGCCTCGCTCCGACGCTCTTATTCGGTCACGGAGCCCTAGCCTCCACAGTTCGTTATCATAAAATGGAGCATATATTTGCATACAATCATCGGCAATGATTATGCTTAGCTAGGTATGTCCCCTTTGTTCGTTGTTTGGCTAACTTGTATCTGCGAGTCAGGGTATTTCCGTACCAAAAAAGCACCCACAAAAGCCTGTGATGCAAACATCGGCAAGTGCCGTGGTAGTGTCTGCTTTGCACCCATCAAGGAAAGTTTGCGTTTGCTACCTGGAAGGGTAATTCCACCACACTGCGGAGGTGGGGTAGGCGCATTGTTTCTGAGTGCGCTTGCTATGTGGCGCTGGGGGTATGGAACGACCACGGCTGCCGTGTTATAGCTAATAGTTTCCGCAGTAGTAAAGTCTCCCACAATATGAAAGACCCACTGGGAGTGCGTGACAGAGACGGCGGCGGGTGGACACTCACTTGAAGCTCAACTGGACCTGAACGCACTTAACAGTTTCTGCTTTCGGCTTACAGAAGTGCGCACCGTCGTCGTGATGTCCGGATACATGGTTCCGAAGGCTCAAAACAAGCATAGTCATTTGTTTTCTTTATCTTTGAGAATATAATAGTGCCTTTAGACACAGACAAGAGGGGAGAACAGGACAAAACAATGTGCTAACTTCAACTGTTTAATATTAAAAAAAGCTATGGCTGCCATTGCGCCACTGCAGCTTGCAAGAACTGGGTCTCTCTATCTACCAGGCCAATCTAAGCCATGCCAATGCACCAATCCGTTTTATCCTCGTGTCTACTGACGATCGTGCAGGACTTGAACTCGGGTTTGCATCCACAGTCATCACAGTGAATTGACAAATGGCCATCCTGTTGCCCACTCGCTTTTAGGTTGTATTTGCGTAATCTATCATTAACAGATCTTCCCGCCTGTCCCATGCATTTCGTGCCACACGTCAACGGGGTCTGAAAGACTACTCCTGCGCGTGCTACAGACGGGCTGCAATGCTCTCAAAGTTTCAGCACCAACTCGCCACACAATCAACATTGATAAATCTTTTTTTAGGGGCGAAGCTCCTTAGGGGCTAGCCATGTCCGTATGTCCATCTGCCGTCGAATGCATGTGCTCCTGCTCGTGAGCTCACGAGCACATGCTCCCGTGTTCGTGTAGGAGAAAAAAAAAAAAAAAAAAACGCATCTCCACGTGGTGAATGATGTTGATTGGGGCGAAGCTCTGGTGGTGCTTGTCTGCGTAGACGCTGAGCCACAGCACGCCGAGCCTTTCGTTCGTTTTCATCCATGTCAGAAAGAGAATGTGTGGTATGGAACGTGGTTATATATGCATTTGAGCATTTGACCGCAGCATGACATGGATGTAAACGAACGAAAGGGTCGGCATGCTGTGGCTCAGTGTCTACGCAGACAAGCACCACCAGAGCTTCGCCCCAATCAACATCATTCACCACGTGGAGATGCAGTTTTTTTTTTATCATTGTTTTGCGTGTCAAATGAAGGAACAGGCAATGCTAAATAAATTTTAAGGGAATGAGTGCATTCATTTATTCTAAAAAAGATCTACGGCAAATCGCTAGGCGATTGTGTTGCGTACATGAAGCTCTTCTAGCATCACAAACGTTTAGCTATACTCTCGCGGTGCTCTTCACCAGATAGTTGAATGCGTACCATGTGCACACTTGATAGTTGTTCCTAGAATGAAGCTCCGCATGCCGGTGTGGTCGCATGTCAAACTTCTTGCAGCCCCAAAAACGTGTGCGCGAATAAGGGCGGTTCCTCGAGCTCCGGTCATGCTGCGCCATCTCGCAGCGTTTGTCAGAAACAGGAGTGAACCTTCGACACGCTTGTTTCGTGGCAAGGCAACAACACCCTTCAGATGCCTCTCTCTCCTTCCATTGTGTCCCCGCACAAAACTCGATATAAAAAACCTTTGGTTTGGCTACCGAGGAACTGAGCAACGTCGAGAAATACTTGGCGAGAAAATGGGTCCCGTTCTCGTTATTTTAGTGCCATTTATCTTCGTACGCTTCGCCAACTGCCATTTCTTAATGGAAAATTTAAAAAATTGCGGTGGCTTAGCTCGGCTATGCCAGGATATACGTAGCGTGAGCTTATGCGCACAAGATGAGAGGTGCTATCAAGCGGCTCCGGTGCAGCGTCAGATTTGGCCACTGCGCAACGAAGGCGCACAGCTGGGCACGCGGCGGCGCCAGTGCGTCTGCCGCGGCTAAGACATCACTCCTCTGGAATGCGCAGACCGGCGAGGCGGGCGTGGCAGTGGCGGAGCGCACAGCGGTGGCTTCGCGTGGCTCTCATAATGAGCCGTGCTTATTATGCGGAGTGCGCGGCGTCGTGCGCCGTGCTCACTATGCGGAGCTCCGCCACCAGCGCCGCACGCTCCACATAATGAGCACGGCTCATTATGAGGGCTACGCGAAACTGCTCAACCTCGGCCAGTGTAGCTAATGCTACAAAAATCGCTTGGAATGTTAGGTTTGAATAATGGGAAGCATCGACACTTAAGCATCTGTTCCGAACTGCCAGTGCCACTGTTGGGCAGGGACTGCTTGCAACCACTTAAGGCAGGAGTAAAGTCCCTCTATAAAATTCGCTCTTACAAGCACCGTCAACCACTGTATTGGAGATGCGCAAGACACGTGCCACAAGCGGGTGCTCTGCCGCGATTTCAGTGCTGCTACAAGGGCTGCTCATTTCAGCGTTGTGCCACCATTTGCTTCCAAGGGCCGCTCGAGACACGGGGCTCGTGCACTGGTGCATTTGACGCTACTTGAAAGACAAGCGCAAACACATCGAGGGGCTTTAGGTAGGAGAACAGACTGGCGCCACCTATCGCATATCCTCGGAACACTTTTCATTTGCATTTTACTAGAGTTTTGCAATATTTGCGAGATTGAATCTATTCGCCATCCATGAGAAACAATTGCTCAAAACATTATCAAAATTTTTTCAAGCCCGTGGGTGAAGGAACCAAAGTGTCTAGCAACCGAGAAAACCGGGAATTGTCAGGGAAATCATAATTACTGGGAAAAATCAGGTAATTGTCGGGGATATTGTCAAAAAGCGAGCTCAGTCGGGGAAGATGAGCCGGAAACACCATTGAGTGCCTTGAGCAAAGGCTTGAGGATGTGGGGGCAGAAAAAGGGGCAATAAATTCTGCTCACTTGATGTAGAGCATGCAACCCGATGCAAAGGGAACAGCTGACAAATCCAGTCCAAGCCTTGCATTGGACTGGATTGGATTGGATTGAGTGTGCGACACTAGACTAGATTCAGTTAGAGCTACTAGATTAAGTAACAAATGGGGAAGCTGCAGACCCCAAATCCAATCCAAGCCTTAAGCCAAAAGTGTGCATTTGGCAGCCATGCTGCCGTTCGGTTATTGAAGAGTGTGGTTGAGCATCGTGTTTTCATTGTCTTCCCGGAAGTGACCCCTTCACTGACGATGTCGGCGGCAAGGAAGTGCTTGTTTAATCCGGACTGGACAAACCCAAATATTTCGGAATATGAAAGTTGGATTAAGCCCATGCGAAATGATTCTTACAGTGTTCAATGCCTTGCGTTATAATGGTCTTATATAATTAACCGCCTCTACAATGGTCAGGGAATTTCACCTAAAATTGTCAGGGAAAACCTGGAAAAGGCAGGAAATTTCAAAGTAATAATTTGCTAGACACCCTGAGGGATGACGTTTAAAAGGTGGGAAATACTTAATATGCAGGTCGGACCTGTTCCTAAGATGCCCGATTGATGGTGACCGTGTGCCAGCGCGTTCTCTGGTCACGAGAGGGCAGTGTGCATTCCTCGGTTGCACTCAAAGGGCAATGTGTGAACCAGCCTTCAAGCCGCAGTCATACTGCTAATATATCGCACAAAGGGCCGTCTGCAGTCACCGCCTGAGGCATATGACGGTCACATTGGTCATACAAAAACTGTCTGCGGACATGTTTGAAGCATACATATGTACAAAGCAAACATGCTTCGAATGTACCCGAGGCGCGTTCGTGGATTTCTGTCCTCGTGTCTGCGGCGAACGCTGGATCTTTTACACAATATATGAACGGCGCGACTGTGGTTTAGAGATGACTGGGCGGCCAATCATTGGTCGATGTGTGGGTCTCGCAGGGTGCCTCGACCGTGGGAGTCCGCCACCTCTCGCAACAGCGGCAGCAGACGGCCAGGCCACGAGGACGGAACAGCTTCGAGCAGAGGGCCAACGCCATCTTCGACGAGGTCCGGGAGATCCGCCGGAAGTCCGAGACCGGGGACTTCGAGGTTCCCAAGCTGTTCCTGGTGGAGCGACTGTCTCGCGAATTCGGCCTCCCGTACTGGGAGAAGGACATACTGAAGCTGCTCAAGCTGCTCGAGTCCAAGGAAGACAAGAAGGCCGGCATACACCGCCCGGTGAGCCTCGGCCCTCTCGTCCCGATTCCGTCGCACTGGGACGCCGAGGAACGGATCTCCGACCGGTGCCTTTACCCTCCCCTACCGCCCGAGCGTCAAAAATGGTCCTGCAGCCGCAGCGGCGACAAGCTACGTCGCAGTAGCTGGCGCTTCTTGCCATGTGACAGGACGTCGCGATCCAGGCAGGGCACGTCCGTGGTTTAGACCCACGTTGCCGTAGAAGAAACTTAATGTGAATTCTGAGCCGAAGACATGCTCTTCGTGTAAAGCTTGTCAAAATATTAGGTGCTGGAAAACATCTGCCATCTGAATTAAGTCCTGAATGCATAATCTTTTTGTTCCTGCTCCGCCCTTTGAAAAGCACGGTGAAAGAGCACAAGGATGCACCTGATCTCGCCTCACCACTGTCCCTTTGTGCACGACAAGGTCCGTCTGCTATGCTCGCTGTCCCCATGACAATGAAGCGTCTCTTTAATAGATGCATACCTGGCGACCGACATAAAGGTTATGGCAGAAAGAAGGAGCGAATGCAAAAGTTTGCTGTCGTCGCGGTGTCCCGTGTCGCGTCCGCTTCGGTTTTTTCGTCAGTTGTCCCACTGCGGAACGAGCCGCAGCACAACTGGTGTCTGCTGTATCCATGTCTGCCGCTCTTCCACTGCCAGGATCCTGGCGAGCAGCAGCACGACAACGGCGCATGGAACACGTGTCTGTCCAGTGTATTAACGTTGTCCAAAAAAGTGGTTCCTGGATTTCCACCCGAGGACACCGCGAAAGTGTCGTGCCGTCGCCGGCCGCGTCGTAGCAGAGGTGGTGGACTTGGCAGACGCCCATTCTGCTGCAGGGGACTCTTTCCGTCTTGACAGTCCGTGGAAGCCTCGGCAGCCGGGAGTTGGGTCCGAAACGACGGCGGAACTCGTGTTCCCTCGTGGCCTTTTTTGGAACTTCTAAACCCAACTGTCAGGATCGCGACATCCGACAGCGTAACACTCCAGCTTCTGTGGCGTCATTCGTTGCCACTTGCTTTGTTTAATTTGCCCGCACCTCCTGCACACCGGTGCAGAAAGGAGTAGGGGCAGTGTACTTCCGGCACGTGTACTAAGATACGATCGAAGTACACCGTCCTACACTTTTCTGCACCGGTGCAGGAGGTGCAGGTAAATCAAAGGAAGCTAGTGACAGCATTGGCGGAATATGACGCTAGACAGGCCGGTTGGAGACGGGCTCCAGGCATTGTGGTTGGAGGGAGGAAGGAAATGCAAGGGCAGTTTTTAAAGTTCTTCCACCACCTACAGAGTGCTTACGATTGTATGTAGTTCACAAAAACTCCTCTCAGCCATTCTTATACCACTATAAAGGCTGGTTCAAAAACTAGCTACTGCTTACCAGGGCCGTACCCAGAAAAAAATTTCGGGGGGGGGGGGGGGGGGTTTTCGGGGACAACGGCGGCCATTTTGAAAGTGTCTATTGTCTTAATTTTGCCTATGAATCATGCGCATCGGTGGCATATAATGGAGAGTTACAGCAAACCGGACAACCGGTCCCGGTTTGGTACCCGGTAGCCGACCGGCGCCACTGCGCGTGCGCAGAGGTGGAGATTAAAATCGGCTGGCTGCCAGTGCACCGACCAGGGCCGTACACAGAAAAAAATTTCGGGGGGGGTCAGAACCCCCTATCCCCCCCCCTGGTTACGGCCCTGCTGCTTACGTCCGGAGAGGCTCAAAACCGGTTCCCAAGCCTCTTGTGACTGCCTACGACCAGCTCCTCAGCAGGGCAGCCTGTCATAAGCACATGCAGGAGGCTCAGAACCGGTCCTTGACCTTTACGGTTGTAAGCAGTCAGAAGTGCGCAAACCGGTCTAAGAAGAGACGAAGGTTCGTCAAACTGGTTGATCCCCAGGCTCGGCAAAAGTTGGCGACATCTTTCAGTTTGAACCGCTTTTTCTTGTGTCCCCACTTTCAAGGCGGTCGAACTCGACTCGGTCGACGATGGGTGACGGGGGCGCTTTTCTCTCGCAGGTGGGCAGCGTGGCGATAGTGAAGAACACGCCATTCATGTGCCGCATGCTGTGGCGGGTGAAGCACCTGGTGCGGGTCACCCCGATCACCTTTCCGGACGGGGAGCCCCGGGAGGGGGAGTATGGGGGCACCCACTTGGGACGGGACGGGGTGTTCCGCAGGGTGCCCCATATCGACGAGCTGCGCCTGGCCGCCACAGAGCCGGAGCGCAAGAAGCTGGACGGCAAGGAGATTGCCAAGGTGCTCCACCTTGCCTGGAACAACAGCCTGTGACCGTGGCCTCCTGAGTGCGCCGTTTGGCTGTAGAAGTTCGGTCACTGGCGTCTGACCTCTCCACCGCCGAACTTGGGCTTCGACGAGCGTGCGCTGTTCGGCTGGAGGCGTGAGCCGTTTGATCGGTGACACTTGGCCGCTCTGCCGCGAGACACTGGCTTCACAACGTCAACAACAACGGCTGTTCAACCCAACAACTCCTCTCTGTGCCGAAGTGCGGGACTGTCCGAAGAAATAGTGCTCTTCTTGAGCAAATCGTGTTCGTTATTAAATGGAAAGTTTAACCAATGTTGCCATTGGTATTCTTGAAGATTCCCTAGACCTTTGTGAAAAATATTCCACGAAGCCCCCTGGCAATCCCACACTGGGATTGTTGAGGAAGCGGCGCCTCCTCTTTTACCCCTCGAGTTCGGCACATGGAGGAAAACGGACCGAACACGTGACAAAGCCACATTTTTTATGACTCTAGGTCTTGTTGCACGTTCTGATCTGTGAGGTATCGAGCCTAAAGAAAGATGATTCAGATCCATGTTCTAGATCCAAAGGTACCAACCGTGGGCAAACTTTATTGTGACAGAAAAATTAATTTTGAGAAAAAAAGAAAAAAAAAATCTTTCTAAAACATGCTTGTAAACAGCCTGGATATGTTTAAGTTGATGTAATCAATTAATGAATTGTATTTGGTAACTTGAAAATGTGTACAGCGTGGGCAAAATGGATTGAACACACTTTAAACTGACCGCATAAATCGGTTTCTTAACTTACTGTGCTGGATTTACTACAGAGGTGCTTGAAGCTGGTGCATTAATAAATTGAGTATGAATACATGAAACCTCCGGAGTCAAAAGGAAGAAAATAAAAACTGGGTTTGTCTGTGGAAAAATGATTGCTAAGCCTTTTATTTCAAAATCGTCACAAAATCGTTGTGGGCTATTCGGCGTTTACTACGATTGAAAAATTCGTGAAATGGAAAAAAAATAGAATTTACTTAGCTATTCTTCACTTCATTTGGCCGAAATAAGCGCCACAGTAGCACATATTTTTTTTTAGTGTGCATGCAGTGTAAAGGGAAAACAGTTTTTGATTTCTCTTAATTTACTCAGGTGAGCCAATCATTCCACAATTTTAGCGAAAGCTTCCACCAATTTCAGGCACCTCTGTACTAACTCCCAGCGTGATAGGTTAAGAAACCTTTATGCGGTCAGTTTAAAGTGCATACAATCCATTTCGCCCACACTGTATTTTGCTCCTTATACGTAGTTCCTGCAGTTTTCACTCTTAGTGTCTCACCTTAAAAATGCTGAAAAAACAAACTTCAAAATATGCTTGCCCACTGCCTGGCTATGTTACTGATTCATTGTTAAACTACTACACTTTTCAGCTCCTTCGGCTTAGATAAAAAAAGAAAAGAAAATCCAGATATCTTTTTTTTCCCCCTGCGTAGTATATATATACCGTAATATCCTGAGTCATCGCCCACCCCCCTACCGCCCGAAATTCATTAAAAAGTGGGGTGGGCCATGTCTCGGTGGGTGAGCACAAACACTTGAAAAAAGCGGAAAAAAACGCCTATTTTTCTCTGCGTATCTAGCGCTGATGCACAAGAGATACATCAAACTCCAAACTCGATTTAGTTTCATTGTTTTATAGAAAAAAAATGCTCACGAAAGAATATTTTACTATAGCGAAGTCCGTTGCTTGCATACGCGCTAGAAACACCGTCGATCTGCATATAGCGCGAACGTTTGTTCCGTGAAAGAATGTCACCACCATGTTCTCCTAGTTAGTGAAAAAAAAATAAAAAAGAAAGTCTACAAGCAAATAGAAAAACCGACCAGGCGCAACGAGCGAGCGAGCGAGCGGACCAAAGAAGCGACCAAGAGCAATGCTGGGAAAGCGGGAAAGCCGGCGGTCGCGTTGGCAAATACTTTGGCGTCGGGCCAAGTCGGGCGCCTTGTCAATGGCAAACTCTTGCGCAACTTTCTTGTTTGGGGCGTACATACGTGCGTCCGTGCACGGCGGGCTATCAATAGGGATGTCGCGAACCACCCGAGGTTCGATTTCGAAAGGTTTCGATATTTGCGAAGCAAACTGAGGTTCGATTTCGAAAACTTTCGATATTTTCGTACCGACCGAGGTTCGATTTCGAAAAATTCGCAACTTTTGACCACAGCGGAGTTTCGAATTCGAAAATTTCGAAGCTTTCACGGTTTCTAAAATTTCGAATTCGAATATTTCGAATATTTTTTTACTTCAGGTTCGATAAATTCGAAGATTTCGAAATTCTTTGGAAAAAAATTCGAAAACTTCGAACGCTTCGAATTTTTATAGACATGAAGTTCGAACAATTCGAAGATTTCGAATTTCTTTCTGCATAAAGTTAGAAAAGTTTGAAGGTTTCGATTCTCTTTTAACGCTAAATTAAAAAACAAAAAACAAAAAAAAACTTCGATGATTTTGAATTTTTTTCTAATCCAAGTTTTCAAAGTTCGAAGTCCGATTTTCAAGTTTTTCCACAGTTTCAAATAACGTTTTCACGACTCACTGGTTTTCACAAAATCAAGTTTAGAAAAGTTAGGGTGTGATATCTAGATTCTGCGAAGTTGGTCGGGCAATTAAATGAGACGACGAGTGTCCCGGACGTGCTAGAATATTTGCCAGTGCAGAATTGTGACCGCCAGCCCCGGGGGGGGGGGGGGGGGGGGTTTAACCTGCATCACGCAGTAGTGATTGCACGAACACACTGTTTTACGAGACTCATTCAGTTCGAAACGGCCAGGGGCGAGCAGGAGGTTGAGGTTCAGAAAAACTTTGAAGCCACCTGGCAAACTAGCTCGCCACCCCTTGCACGCTGGTAGTAATCCGATCCGGTGAAGTTCTGGCATGCTTAGGGTTAAAGCTGCAATGTTCTGGCATGCTTAGGGTTAAAGAAATAAATCCCCTTCGGGGATTTATTTCTTTAAACCTAAGCATGCCAGAACATTGAAATAAACGACATTGTCTTTTGTAAGGAACGCAGCACCGCGTGTAAAAATTCGAGAAAAAAAAATTACGAATGTACCCCACTACTTGAAATCAAATGAAACCGTCCGCCGGTCTTTCGAAGTTCGAAGAACGTCGAACTTTTACCCTAAAAGTTCGAAGTTCGTCGAACTTCTGACTTTTCAGAATTCGAAAGTTCGAAACTTTTCGAATTCTCTTGATAAGTAAGTTCGAAAATTCGATATTCATCGAATTTTTTGGTCAGTCAAGTTCGAAAGTTCGACAAGCATCGAACCTTGCAGCGCAATAAGTTCGAAAGTTCGAAAAAGATAGAATTTTTTAGCGTAATAAGTTCGACGGTTCGAAAAGCGTCGAACTTCTTAGCTTAACAAGTTCGAAAATTCGACCTCCATCGAATTTTACGATATAGACAATTCGAAAAATCGAAATCTTTCGAACCTTTCGAACCACTTGATTCGATCATCGAAACTTCGATTCGAAAAAAGTTCGCGGCATCCCTAGCTATCAATGCACGGTTGGGACGCTCTGCAAACGTCTGTGTAGGGCGTTCCAGCAAAGCTTTATTTGCGCGTTGGCTTTGCCTAAAATATTGCACAACCGCGGTCGCGACGGGCTTGAAAAAGGAGCGGGTTCGCGGTGACCTTACTTCGGCGGAGACAGACTTTGACCTAACACTCTCCGGTTACATTAACAAACTCTTATTTTGTTATCTCCATCGTTTTTTTTTTTTTTTCGCACGGATACACGACCACTTTGGGGTCGCTCACGGAGGAAATGCATAAACAAAAAGAAGTGCCTTTCCCTCCTTCGTTTTACTTTGTCACGGACGTCCTCCAACTGTAAGGTCCGCGGCCGCGTCATTCGGGTAGGATGAGTGGTCGCGGATAGCAGAGTGGATAGCAGAGTCTGCGCTGGGGTATTTGAAGGGGTGGGCGATGACTCGGTGTTTTTTCGGAAATCGATATTGGCCAAAAAATGGGGTGGGCGATGGCTCGGGGATGGGCGATGACTCGGGATATTACGGTATATATATATTTTTAAGATTAGTTTTTATTTTTGAAGCATTGCTTGTGTCGCCTGAAACTTTCCTTGAGCATCTCTACTGCTGCTAAAACTGTTTCCAGTGACACACCAGCGGCCTTTGTGAAACCTATTTCGAGCCAAGGTCATTGCCCGATTTGCCGTGCCTGTGGCAGCATTTAAGGAAACATCCTCTGCTTCAAGTAAAAGACTCGCTGAAAAACGTGCTGTTGGGCAACATGCTCTGTCCGAATAGATCCAGAGCAGCCTTCCAAGAGGCACATGTGTTAGAACCAGAAGGGCCCGGGGTCAACAGGTGCACTGACAAGAGACCCGTTGGGTTTCACGATTTGAAGGAATTCGCAAAATTTGCTGAGACTTCCACTTTCACCCAAGGTCGTCATGTATGTTTACTACCACAGCTATTTTCAGGCCGCATAGATTGCGCAACTTGTCTTGACTAGACTCAACATTACGGGATGTTGTTTTTTTTGTAGTCAAGTTTAGGAAGATAGTCTTTTTTGCTTTATTCATTAGCTTCAATAGGCAGATAGAAAACTGTTGGCTAAATATGGCAAAGTCGGCGATTGGTTACCTTTTTTTTTAAAGGGAAGTGCAGATCAAAGTGCACATTAGAAGCATTTTTTTGCAGCCTTCGTTATAAAATTTTTTTAAACACATTTATTGTAACTCTCTTCTTGAGAAGATGGTTACAATTCAGAGTTTTAGAAGTAAATCTTTTCTTAAAACTCCTCCAATTGTAGCAAAGCGAGTTGGGTTGTGTGTATGTCTATACAGCCGGAACTTAGTCTGCCTCAGAAGGCGTCTGGTGTCTCAGCTGTAGACGAGTGCAGTACAACCGCTAGCCTGGGGTCTTTAACGTACACCACGCAGTAGTGGTACATGACCGCACGCCGGTACGATGCTCATCCTGATCAAAACGGGCAGGGGTAGGGATTGAACCCAGGATCCCTGGGTTCTGCAGCGCGAATCCTCCAATTGTAGCCGTTTTCTCATTAGTTTGTGCTCGTTCATTACCGAAGCTCGTTCTTTAATTTCCACTGCTGTAGAGTGCCTCACTGTTGCCTCTTGGCTGTGCCGTGCTAGACTGGCGACATCCTTTGAGAAGGTGCCTCCTTTTCCTGGCTGCGGCCACCATTTCTCTTCCTGCGAGATGCTGACCTCGTACGTGCGAGACCAATGGATTGGCTGTAGCGTGTGAAGGTGGTGAAGGTGCCGGCTTGATGCATTCCCAAGTGTTCGCATCACTCAAGAAATTAAGAGACCGTATGGTGTCCTTGCGAGCTTAAAACGGAGGTGACCGTAGTTCTGTAGTTGACACATATCAAGCGCGACGATCGGGAGTCCACCTCGAAATATGCGCCGAAGACAGACGCATGATTGATGGAATGCACGACGTTGCGCATTCTTAAAATTGACCCGGGTCGTTTCACGAGTGGCAACGCTCAATGAATGCGTAAATGGCTCCAATGGCTACGAATGAGCATGGGGCAAGATGGCGGGTCACTGTAAGTGCCACCAGCCCAGCAACATTGAGGCACTAGTCTTTTTTTTTTCTTCACTTTTATCTTTCATTTCTCCTTTATTTTAACACAGCACCTTCCATGTCTGCCTGTTACTTTTTATTAAAACGGCGGTCGCTAGTTAGCACTTGTTTCAAGTCATCCTCATCCTTTTGTATCTTGTACGTGTAATGTAAATTATGGCAGCCAGTGAGTGTGCAGTATCACCGGGAAGTTCAGTTGTTGCCAGGTAATGCAAACTGAATCGTCGTGCATCTTGCCTACTGCTCGCTTTAATTACAAAGTTTATCAAATATTCGCAATTGTATTTCACTATATCGATCACCCCACTACATGCAGAATTGCGTTTTATGAGCAACGCAGAGGACCCTAACTGCAGTCTCGGCCTCCCAGGAACACTTATTCTTTCCTTGTTTTTTTTGTTTTAGAGGCTCTTGCAATAGACCCTTTGCAAAAATCCGAAAAGCCCGCAAGCGCCGCGCGACGAATAATGGGAGTCCTCGGTACGCCCCTCCTCCCGCTGCCACGTAACCATGTGGCATACGAGAGCAGGCGCAGGTTACCACGGCACCTTTTGAGCAGCCGAGTCGGGCAAGCCACGAGCCTATGGCTGCCCGTTTCTCATCCCTCTCCGTTGCATTGGCTCTGTCGTCTGCTGCACCAACGCCTTGTCAAACGTGGTCGAAACCTGCCACAGTTGCGGTGCAAACTAAATGGATTCGGTGACACTTCAATACATGAGGGTAAGTTAGACGAATAGCGTATTAAAACAAGTTCACCAGCCGCGATGCCTTTACGCTGCCACAGATACAATACGCCGCTAACGACGCACGACTTGGCAGATGGCTGCAATGGCTGCTGGCGGTAGCTGCCGAGACACGCGCGCAGTCCCAGCGAGAAAGCATGTGACCTGTACCGAGGGTTCCCAAAATTCCCTGCCGTCGTGGCGCTGTACGTTTTGCAACAGGTCTATTAAAGCTTCTCGAATTTTCTCGCAGTCCTCCGTCTTACCTCTTCTGCTTTTCTTTTCTTTTCACACTTGGGTCCCATGACCAGTGGTGCTCGCGGCACAGGTGCTTGGCAGCCGGCCAACTTCATTTGACTGTAGCCACCTGCACTATTCTTGGAGGTTGCCGTGGCATGCTTCACTACGAAATCAGAGCGTCTTGGTCAGAATGTAATCCTGCATTAATAAGCACAACAAAAAAAGGTGTCGCACACTTATCGCTCCTCGTAATGTAAAAAAAAAACAAAAAAAAAACACAGTTATAAGGGTATGTATGAAACATTTATTTACATATGCTAATGCGCAAAACTGTAGGAAGAATGTGTTCTAGCTATGCGTTTCAACTGGCTGCTGCTTCTGCTGTTCCTGCTGCTGCTGTTGCTGCTGCTGAGCTTCGAGGGCGTGCTTCATCATCTCTGGCTGTACCTCCATGTAGATGGCCATCATGCGATGGTTAACGTTGATGGACTTGCCTACGCAGTGCTCCACGCAAGAACTCTGAGAAAAAAAGAAAAAACAAACCCCTAAATTTTGTGGTTGAAGCTGGAAGATGCAGAACGCATGTGTTTTGAAGCGCACTGGGTTTTTCTGAGCTCTGAAGAACTTAGTGAGAAGCATTTCCCCGATAAATTTACCAGGCAAACCCTGCACCATCTCTATACACTGTTCACTCTGAGACTGCAACGAAAGCTACAAGTGCAAGCTGACCCGCGCTCCGAGCTATTTCTAGAGCGCGAGCTCGTTCTGCGGAAAAACGTTTCAAATCAGCGATCTCATGCTTTCCGCATTGGTTGCAGTCTCGGCTAAAGGGTGGACACAGTATAGCGGGACGTGAACCTGCTAAATATAGTGTGGTAAAACTAGCACCGGCATAAAATTGTGCACCAGTACAATTTGCCCGGCGGGAAGCATTTCCAATTTATACACCAACTCGTGTTTACAAACCAACAGAAGCGCCCCTAGCGGCTTGCCACCAGTGCCACGCATGAACAACCATTGGAATCTGATGTTGTCAGCGTCGGTGTGAGTTCCCATGCTCTTTTTCGAGTTGTGGATTACATGTCTTCCTGGTAATGTCCGACTACTTAAGTTAACGAGGCTCAATGCACTAAAATACTTGGCGTAAATAATCTGGCATGCGGCAACTCGTTCAACGTGAACGCCACAGAATGGACGCTAAAGCCTGATTCATATGATTCCCGCTCGCTAGTTTCAGTCGCAACGTCGCTAGGGCTGCAAAAGTGTAGACAGCAGCTGCAACGCTCGACATCGATACTGAAAATCGCAAGCAGAATCTAACCAAGTGGATCGGGCGTAACCAGTCGGTGATGGCCACCGGTAACATTTTTCAACACCACCTCCTATCTATTATTTACACTGAGCCTACTTACCCCAAACAACCTTAAAACTTAAAAGTCTTTCGAGTACTTCTTATCACAATTTTTGATCTACTGGCCGCTCTCATTTGCGAGCAGACGACAGTTTGATGATCGCACGGTCATTTGAATGTGAAGTCTCGCTGAATGTGGTCTGCGGGTGGTCCGGACCACTTTACAGTTTTCCGGCGTTCACGTTGGAACAAAACAAATGAATCTGACGACCAGAAGTATTCCTGAATTCAACCCAAAGTGCTAGTAGTCCGACAGTGGTTTCTCTTTTGACGGCACCTATCCCCATTCTTGGACGAACCGAGCAGGCAGAAAACACATGAAAACTGATCTTCAAACCTTTCCCAGCTTTTTTTGGTACAGCGTTAGTCGTGGCGTTTTGACGAGAGGGCAGGTTTTAGTCTCGTTTCTTCCAAAACGACATGAGAATTCCCGTCCAGCATAGCGACTTCCGCCCACAGCCCCAGATCATACCAGAAGTCCACCTAATGCGCCACCACCGTGGCATGATGTAACGGAGTTGAATTGGAGTGTACACCAATTCAGGTTTTGCTGCCAAATTTAGCGAGGCAAGGCTTTAGCAAGAAGTGCTGCACCTTGGGGGGGGAGGAGGGAGACTTTATTTTTCCCATTTTTTTTAATGTAACTTTAGTCTTGAGCCTAATGGGCCTAAAAAAAAAAAGAAAAGAAACAGCCGAGATGTTACATGAACTGGCCCTTTAGTTACAGACTATTCAAATTTGTTTCTGGAAATTTCAAGGATCGCTTCGGCCAGGGCTATTTTTTCTATGATCCCAGATTGTTGAAGGGTTCTAGGCAGCTGCGACGAAAATTACTAGAGTCAATCCTGATCGAAACTGACTACTCGATTTCTCAAACCCGAGGACGCTTGAAACGAGGAAAATTGAATACTGGACTTACAATTTATCTGGTTTGGTATGGATTGTCTTGTGGTTTCGGAAAGGACAGTTAGTATTCACGATGCTATTCAAAAATATCTTAATAGCTGCTCCTGTCGCATAACAAGAAGCATTTGGCAGCACATCTTCGTACAGGCATTGTTATCATAGCCATTGCCTAGATCCACAACAAATTCTCTACACAAGGTATCCAATGATTTAAAGGAATTCATTATTTTTACGAGACTTCCACTGACATTCATAAACGTAACATATGCAACAACTACCGCAGACGTTTCCAGGCAGCTCAAAAGATTGCTTCTCTCAGAATCGAGTGCGGCGTCGGCTTGGGTCAATTATATTGAGCTTGGCAAAATCAAATTTTCGCTGTTTTTTTTGTTTTCCCTATTTGACAAAATAAAATTTGCGAACCACAAAGTATTAATAATCATGAATACATTTTCCACACTCTGTAAAAACATCGCCTGCCACCATTGCCGAGTGTAGTATACAAAGTATGGTGGCACACTTTAATGTACTGTAACCTCGTCGGGTGACTATCTTGTCTTTTGTGCCTTTGGACTTTCCAAAAACAGTTCCCTCTTGCCTCGAAAAAATTAAAATGATCGATTGATTGGTTGAATGCTAGAGTGCATGGGAAGGAGTGCCGTAAGCACCCTCCGAGGCTGCGTCATATCAAATTTCTGCATAAACTATGTCGCAGTAAAAGCACCAGAAGGGGACAATTGCGAGGAGCACCTTAGGTGCAACATGGATGGACAGCATGGTGCGCTAATGCACAAAAAGATCTGTTGTCATGTTTGTGGGCATATCCTTCATTGAAGTCGCAAAACTTGATTTTTCAGGAAGCAACACCGCAATCTGCAGGAAAGGTTAAACTACATAGAGCATCTGTTTAGTGGAAGTGCCTTAGGATAAGCTTAATTGCAAGTTAACTTTTCCTGCAACCTTCCCCTCGAGTTGAGTAGCTTCTTTCGTGTTGCGGTTAAGAACAATGTCGAGAGGAACCAATGGAGCACTTGATTTGCCAAAGCTGTGAAAGGATCAAAGTCAGGATGATATTTCCCTTACTTCCCTGCTTCCAACTGCCCTTCGACATGTGAAAAAATGGACAATTTTTGGAAATCACAGGTTCGGGAGGTTCTGGTATGAAGATATGTGAGCACATGCTCGAGCGAGCATGGGCACTCTCTCAACCGAGGAAGCTAGATCCTGCTGGCTCCATTGAGAGTGACCAAGATTGGGCCCTCCTAAAGTCTCTTTTCTGCTTTATCTTTTTTCCCCCAAGTTTGGTCCAACACGCTTCTTCTCCTTTCTTATCAATGCACACACCCTTTTATCCTGGAAATCCTCAAACCCCATTTTCTGCCAGGTGGCGTCAGTTATCTCTAAAATGGTGGACTGTGCTCCACGTCCGTGAAGCTTTCTATGTAGCTTTCCACGAACGCAAGTTGTTCCGCATATTTTCGTCACAACAAACAATCTGGGTGCAGCTTTCTGGTAAACCACTGTGTGAAATCGCTTGCCCAAAATGGCAGTGACTATTTCGACGTCCACTGTCAGAATATCTAAAATATTTCGACGTCTGTGACGTCACTTTCGTAAAATGTCGAAATAGCGGCTTTATTATTTCGACGTCCTTCTTCAATGCAGCAGCCGTAGCAGTGATAGCAGTTTTGGGGTTTCATTCTGTTTAGTTTCTGATGGTGTCGTCGGTGTTGTGTTGGCGTTTTGACGGATAGTTTCAGTCCTAGTTGGCAGTGGAGATGTCTTATTCAGCGTGTGTGTGGGACCGGCTCGACAGTTGATACTTTCGGATGTGACATGCCCAGCAGCAATGTTCTGAGCTCTAGCACGTCATTTCGGCACGTGTCTCACTTAAAATTTTTAATTTACAGCAAAGGTGAGCTGGATATCCTCTGTCTTGCCTGCACGTAACAACTATAAGTGCGTACACTACGCAACACAGAAATTTGGCACGTTTTAATTGCGCCTCCACATTGTGCGAGAGTGTCTTCGTATCGCTCTCGCTTTGCATCTGGCTCCCCCCTTGTTTTTTTAACCCGGTTTCGTGAGTTCGTTGTTTAGTTTAGATTTTCTTTTCAGTCCGTGTATAACGGGCGGATTAACTACGAAACAATCGAATGTTAACTAAAAGGTGGTGAATGCAAACATTGCTTCCTTAAAGTTTCTTGACCGGTGCGAACGAACAAAGGTTCTGGCGCTGCACTGCACTGCTGCACTCTGTAATGTTTGGCACAACCAAGCAAACAACATTACTTTTGGCCTGATAGCTGATGTACTTTGAGAAGGTCTTTTTGCAATCCACATCACTTAAAAGGTCATAAAAACAGCAGTCGACCGCATGACATTTGTTTTTCGAAAATGCGTGTCAAAACACGACGCTGGCTGCAAGCAAGATGATAATTTTTTGACCGCTACCTTCGATCGCTCCCCAGTCCAGACTCCAAAGTTCTAAGCTCGAGACACCAAAATAATGACAAAATATCTTGACGGGGGATGTCAAAATACCGTTGAAAACATTTTTACGTCTTCAGGAAGTGGCGTCGCGGACGTCAAAATAATATTCAAAATTAATTGGAAAGTTGACGTCGATATAGTCGCTGCCTCGTGAAATGTACACTTTGGTATTCCGCCCGGGAAAGAGGGCACTGCCTACCTCTTGACTGGTGAGCTCCCTGTAATTGAGGTTGTTGACACACTCCTTGAAGCACACTTCCGTCATCCGGTTGTAGATCATCAGGAAGTCTCGGAACTGCAACAGCGAAGCAGTTATAGACGAGGCATATCGCTTCCTGAGGAACGCTATCAGGTTAGAGGGAGCCTGACTTTCACCCCCATCACATGCCCAATAATGCTGTCCGCCGGTGAAAGTTAATTCTGGCTTGTAGCATGCTACGAACGGAAGGAGCGAGCCATCTACGGTGTGTTAAGACATATGTCCCAATTTCGCGACTGTCGGCATCAGTGTCTTAGGTCAAAAGAACTGTTTATGGAAGCATATACCTGGCATGTTGCGAATCGGTGACACACGTCCAAAAAGGGTTAATAATTTATTGGTACATTCTTATAATTTACTAGAAAGCTCCAGGACATAACGTAATATACCGAGCATCCGCCCATTCTACGATAAGTGCCCGGCCCACAATTTTGTAACCTTCGTCATGTACACAGAGGTCATAGCATTACCTATTGTTGCAGAACACCAACACTTGCAAAGTCTAGCAAAAAGCAAGAAAGAAGAAGGCGAGACAGTGGGTGCAGAAGGAATGTACACCATTGGAGCTTGATGGCGGAACCCGACGAAAAGAGGCCTTCGAATCACCTTCAGCAGTAACAATGTCATTGACCTAAGGAGTGCCCTTCCCCCAGTTTTACACAAACTCCTCCAAGTTTGTGGCGAGCGCTTGCTCGGGATTTTACGGTGTGCCAGGTGTGGTTCGTTGCAATGGTTGGACGAAACAGACGGAACTTTGCCAGTGGCTACGGTTCCATCTCGGCAGAACTTTACTATGTTTCCGGAACCGAGTGCAATGAAGGTTTTCACAAAGGTGTCTTTAGGTGGTGCGCTTATCATAGTCAAATTTTGTGGGTGTGGGTTTTAGAAAAACAATTTATTTTCTAAAAAAAAATCCTGTTTTTTTTTTCATGCACAGGGAAGAAAATGGTAGAAACCGTCCGGTTGACATGGCACCACGTAAAGCGAAAACGTGAGAAGACGAGCGCGTGTGGTTCCGTGAGCGATGCTATACGCACGTTGTACACCTCAACCGCAAATGGCTATATGCATGACGCGGAGAACTCGAGCCATTCGGTTAATGTAGCGGTTGATTTTGTCTCGCTATCGTCGTGCGACGTTTTGCCAACAATGTATTTGTTTTTTATGGCGACAGCTGTTAACAAAAATATGTAGTCGACAGCGTAAGGCGTCTGTCGTCAATGTCGGCAAATAAATATGCCCGCCACCCTCAGGATCCAATCCCGGATACCACAGAGCTTCGCCACAGCTTTGACGATTTCTCTAATACACAATTTATATTGGGCGTTTTGTTTTTTACAAAGTGTGTAATGAAATATGGAAGTTGCTAAAAGCTAGCACGTGATTCACCGAGGCCTGTTTACCTAAGCATTGGGCCCTCTCTCTCTCCCCACGCAAACTAGGCGGGATGCAAAAAGTTTTGCGTGGTGCGTATAGCATTACTCCTGTGAGCAGCAGCGTTAACCAGATGGTTTTTGCCCTTTTTCGCTCTCGCATAGGAATCAAACACAAATTTTTGAAGGCTTATGTTTTTTTGTTTTTTTTCCCTGGAACCTGCACTCCTGAAATTTAAGCATGATAAATGCCCTGCTTAAAGAGACCTTTACAAAAAGTTTCTATACACTCCAAAGCGAGGCAAGCAGCTACGCTTGCCAATATAATAATAATAATCCTCTTTATTTCGACCCAGGAGGATTGAGGTGTACCAGAAAGGCCGGAGGCCTGTACCGGTTGGCCTAGTATACCGAAATAAGCAATAAATAAATAAATAAATAAGGCTATTTACAAGACAGCCATTGCTGGATCCTGACCAGACAGAAGGATAGCCACCCCTAAAGTTCCGTCCAGATGGAACCATAACCGCCGCTAAAGTTCTGTTTAGACGGAAAAGAAACCCGACAATGAATCTCTGTCTGACACATACAAGGGTTGATCCCTATGCTCCACCCCTGACCCATTTCTGGAATAAGAACTGGCAATGTTTCTACATTATTTTTTTAATGTAGTCTTCTCAAAGTCAAATGCACTTGTCCTAGCAATCCTATAACATTTCCACTGCTTCCTAAAAAAAAAGCTTGTCCAACCTATGCATACGATGCATCTCCCCCATATACCCATTAAAAAATCTCCTCCCATGCAAGTGTTTCTTTCATTTTTTTAAAGAGTCTAGTGATTCGGAGATGGATCCAGTGAATATGGTGGATATTCTAGCATTTCCAAAGCTTCCTTTAGGATTGGCGTCCATTGCAATGCAAGATCCGACACTAAGGGCATTGTCATAACAAGGGAGCACTCCCTGTCTCAGCTTTTCACAACGTTTCTCCTCGATAGCGGTGCCTAGTTTTGTATTAGACACCCTTGGAAAGTCATCTGCTGATTATAAGGTGGTCAGAACCGCTGCCCAATGGCGGCAGAACCTGACATTGTGGAACCAGGCAAATCTTTCCACAAGACAGCGAACTTCTGAGTGCGGCCCATGCAAGGAGCCGACGATCGAGCCAATAAAACAACGCCGAAAGTGCGACATTGATGCGCTCGGCACCTTTTTCTGTGGGTGTGTTTTTTCCTTCTCATCCAACCAAAGGCATAAAGTGTGCCCAGACTTTGCGGTTTTCGTCCACCACTGTGCAGGGATTCCCACAGCTGCCAACAGAGGGCAGTCTTTGATAGGGGGTCTATTAGGTTGGCATAGTAAGAACCTGGTATAGTGGCTCCACCTCATAAATGACGCTGCATCTAAAGGTATGTCGGAAGCATGCGGCCAATATTCTTAAGGACTTACGTCGAACGTGTGCGGCCTGGAGCTCGATATATTAGGAGAGGAGGACAACATCTGTCATGTTAACATGCATTTCGGCTGCCTCAGAAGGGCGGGGCATAGGGGCAGACATCCAATCTCAAAAGCTTCCGTGGTCTCCCCAGATCACTGGCGAGGCAGCAAAATCACTCTCAAGGTTAATATTTGGCCTTTTCAGCTTTATTTTGTAAAAAAAAACAGACTCGACATCAAATAATATATTAAAAAAATATATTGTCTGCCTTTTTTTTATTGTTTTCTTGTCTCTTTAGTTTTCATTCTTTCCCTAGGAGCCACCGATATCAAAGTTTACGGTTTTCTGCACTGCGCTGCTGTTTGCATCATCTTTACCCGTATTTACAACATTCCTATTCTGCACGTAAACTCAGCTGATGGACGGACGAATGCATACGGCTGGCGCATCTAAAGGTTGCCGTGCTGTTGTGCAGCAGCACTGCTACCATAAGCTGCCGCTGCGACTTCGAAGCATGGCCCCCAAAGTCCTCAGCCCTAAGCGCGCATCAGGCGTGGTGCCGCCTTGGAGATAGTGCTTGTAGAAGTATCAAGGGACTTTATTGCAGTTGCAGCTCGCGTGTCCCGGGGACTTTTGTCCCCGACTTTACCTCAACGCCAGATCCGTCCGACATACCTTCGACAAAACCGGCCGAGCGGAGCGCAAACTCGTCTGCTTCTTTTGCAGCGGTTGTGGTGACGTCAGAACGCCGAGCTCTGATTGGCTCTGATGAAGGATAGTGGGTAGACCTCAAAGCAAGCTGCTTTGAGGTCTACCCACTATCCTTTATTCGGAACCAATCAGAGCTCTGCGTTCTGACGTCACCACAACCCCTGCCAAAGAAACGGACGAGTTTGCGGTCCGCATACCTTCAAGAAAATCGGCCGGGTACGGATCCGAAGTACCATTAAGATATCCGGCAGGGTACAACCGAGAGCTTATTTTTACCTTAGCTTGGCCAAAAAGAAACAATGCTCTCTACCGTGGCCTCGGGACAGAACCAACGGACCCTGCGAGGCTTTGCTCTCGTCCCGTCTGGACGGAACTCTGCTGGGCATGCTACCGTTCCGTCTGGACGGAACTCACCCGTTAAAAGTTTGCTGTAACGCTTGACGACTACAAAGAGGCAGTACAAACATGCTACGCGGCTTGGCGACAGTGAAAAAAAAACTGAAACTGAGAACCGCACAGTTTATGCTGGGAGAGACACGATTGCGCCTGCTTTCGCGCTGTTGATAAACTCGATGTGTCGAATTAAAGGGCATCGAGTTTTCACGTGATCACCCGACGGTGCTAGTGGCTCCAGCACGTCGCCGATTACACAAAGGCTGGCAACACATTTCCTGCGTTGTCATTGAACACCGCAGATGCATTCAACACACACGCTACCCCCCTGACAATACTGTTACGAGCCTTGAGAGATTATCGGATGTAAAGAATGTTCTCACATTTCGGAGCGCCGCATCATCTGCCGCCATTTGAATAGGATTATGACACTTCACGGCCGACGAACGCCATTAACACTTTCGAATTTGAAATATCTTATCTTACGCCAATTCAATTTAAAGCATTCATTAATTTAAATTTATTAAGCGTATCAAATATAAAATTAATCACTTTACCTAAAGAAGGTTCGATGAACTCGTCACCGGTTGCGAAAGTGTGGCGGCAAAACGACGGCCCCGTTCAGTTCGGCCATTCGGTCGCACTGGGTCGCACGAAGAATTACGAAGTGCCTTGGCTATAGTCGCGTTAAAATCTGTGCTTTTAGGTAGCTTGCACTACAAATACCACATATTGGCCTCAGTACTGGACACCAGCCATTGCGTCGAATTCCCGGCGCGTCTCTAAACCGCCCAGCGAGTCACGCAGGATATGTGGGAAGTCAGTCTCTCGGTGCGTTCGCGCTACCCGTCGTCCCGTGCTGCCTGAGAAAGAGCTGTGTCCTCCAGTTTCCTGTTCGGTATGCTCAAATTCTCGACTACTCATCCGTTTTTTTCTTCTTTTTTTTTTCATAACGTGTCTTTGCGATTTTCGCACTGGGAAGCAATTGCCTCGATAGTGTCCAGCAGTGACAACACGAGTCTTCGAGACGTAGTGGGCGTCGTTCATTCTAAAGATAGCTACTCAATCTGACCAGCAAACGCTATCTTTGTCTACTGTTTGGGTGACTTCACCCGCTCTCCTTTGTACGCATCGTCTGTCCGTGCTGCAGAAATAAACGCAAAGTAAGTGAAACTCGCAGGAAGAACTCGAAAAGGCACCCTGCCGCAACCTCGTAGTAGCAGCCGACATCTATTGCGCCGAATGTCTTTCACCACTCTTGAGGCTTTCAGTGCCTCTTCTCTACATCGTTGATTCGTATCCTACACCTCTTATGTCTTGCGCAGGTGCCTTGCTGTTTATAGTCATAGCGGTTGCGGCTGTTGGCGGTATATTCCTGTTACCGTGGAGAGTTTTAGGCTCTTGACGGTATATTCCTCTTACCGTGGAGAGTTTTAGGGAAGCATTTTTGCACATCCGATACGGTATACGATTGGCCGTCCTGCTGGAACTGCGCATGCGCGAGTCTTCTGCGGTAGCACATGCGCGGTTCGTACCAGAGGGCCTACCGTACCGTATCGGATATGCAAAGACGCTTCCCATACAACATGAAAGCCGTTTGCAATTTCTTGTAAGGCCGAATTAGAGCACAGCTCTTGAGGAGGGGAAGGGAAGGGTACAGAGAGGAGGGTATCCTCTCCCCTTCCCATCCTCCTCCTCCTGCTCCTCCTCCCCTCCGCTCCTCCTCCTCCGTTGGTTTATGGATGCCCAGTTGGCAGGTTCGAGCCCCTATGGAGGGGCCCGCAGTCCGACTGAGGATGATTGTGGAGAGGGCGCCGCGTAACAGATCCCCATGGAGTCATAATTAACCCCCAGTCCTTCCTTTGGGGCATGCCAGATGCCCTTCGTTCTTGGTTTAGCTCTTAAAAACTCAAAATTTGAGTTGGACAATGTTGGCTTCGCGCCGTAGAAAGTTATTCTAGAGGCACCAATGGAAGTGTCTCGAGTGTCACGGCGACGCCTTCCGTAGAGTCGCGGTGAATGCCCGTCGTTGGCCGACGTTCGAAGCCCCCGGGCATCTTAAACCTGGGGAGGTATATCCTCGGAAGTGAAAGTGTGGTAGACTCCACGTGCGCAGACATTCGCAGGAGGGAGTGCACGAAACGGAGCACTAACAAAGTTGTGCCGACGCCCATATAGTCGTCGAAGAAGTGAGAACGGCGGGTCTTTCAAAGCCCGAATTTCGGCACGCGCTCCACATCTTCCGCCGCGCTTTAGCTGCGCACGTGCACTCGAGGTGCATGAGACGCCGAAGCTTCCTTGAACACGGGAAGTTCGTACTGGAGGTGTGACAACCAAAACTCCTTCCTGCCATTCTCACCCTTTTGCAACTACGTAGCCAGCGAAATGTTAACCACGTCCGTTTGTCCAACTGTGTCCGTAATGTCGAGGAGGCTCGGGAGTTATTTAGATGTAACGATTTAGAGAAGTCTACGGGGTAGACGAGATCTATGCGAGAATAAATGGACATATATCCAATATGGACTGCAACCTATGCCCTCTATATTCTGTTCGACCCTAAGCTGACGGCGCGTCGGAAGCTACATGCTCGTCGGACCAGTCTTGTGCGTCTTTCCCACCAAGTGATAGGGCTCCCGCCCGTGCCCAAATCGGGAGGGAGGGGTCAGGTGACGAGGGGGACGTGGTTGACTGGCTCGGCGAGCACACAGTTCCCGACGTACTCTCGCCTTACGGGTGAACGGAGTATACACCTTTCCAAAAAACACTCGACCCCAGGGGCACCAAACCGTTTTCGAGCCCAGTCACTGAGTTTGAGGCTAGGCTCTCACCGGCGTCCCTCCTAACCCTAACCGAGTGGACTGTGATTTCAACAAGCGCAGCCTGCGTAGGCGCAGTTTCAAACGCTGCTGGCGGCTAAATTCTCGTCTTTTCCCGCTATATTTTGTGTTTCATGGTACATGTATGTTCTCGAGGACATTGAGAAAGCATTTGCCACATTTAAAAAAACAAAGAAAGAAAGAAAAAAAAAAGAAAAAAGCTGTAAACTATTTTTGTTGGGTACGCACGTGACAGAACGAATGTGACTGGAAGGTATAGTTCTAGTTATTTGTTTTTTTTCTTACGATAAGTTTTGATGGCGCCGCGGGATTTTCCGCATGTGAAAAGACAAAGAGCTTTGCTTTCAAAAATAGATTGCAACAGAAGAGGGCCGAAAGTCATGCATTTTTCACGCTCACAAATAACGTGTTTACCGATGGACAGGACACGGACATACAATTGAGTACATCCGAACAATATATCGTACGTACCACTCGATGCAGCGTTATCCGAAAATAATTTATTTGAGAAAGATCTTAAATAACACAGTCACAGTCGACGACAGTCACATTTTGACGATCGGACGGAATCCGAGATGACTTCGTTTTGGGGCACGTTTTGGCGAGCTTCCTTTTTTCACAGCCGCACCATGGCAAAGAAACAAACGCGACTGACCTGTTTCTCACCCCAACCTGGACAACTATTTTTGGAGATGACTGAGGATTCTACGCGGATTATCTCTGGGAGGGGGGAGAACGATGTTCGCAAAATCGTGTCGAGGGTCGTTCGACGTCCTTCACCTCCTTCGTTTCCCGTGTACGTCGAGCAGAAAAGCTTGAATGGCAGGCACTTACCAGCCTTATTTCTCACAATGGAAGATAACACAAAAAGGGTACGCAGCAAGCATAAAAAAGATTAAGTGGAAACTTTCAAGAGGGGCGAGAAAACGTCAAATGCAAAACCGCAAAAACATAGCTAGAGAACTGCGCTGAGTGTGTCTTCACAGTCCCAGAGAGTGGCAGAAAATTTCTAGCCGATAGAAGGCGCGAGAGTCGCACCAGCCGCATCAGCATCAGCAACATGGCGGCGGCCTAGGAGCGTTTTTTGGAAAGGTGTATAGGAGACTGGGGACGCCGCAGAGAAAATACACCGTCTCTGGGCGTCGACCCGGGGACCCTCCAAAACTAGCGGGACACTTTGCCAACCGAGCCAACCACGAGCCAGCTGCGAGCAGAGCAAATGCCGAGATCAAAGGCTGGATCAAGTGTTGGCTCTACCGATGGCTAGCTCTAAGTTAGCTCGGTTGGTAGGAAACTCTGCCGGTCTCGTAGAAGTCCCGAAATCGAGGCCCAGATCGGGTGGATTTTTTCGGTGGCACACCGGTTGCCCCGGGGCGCGAGTTGAGCTATCTCGAGTGGAAGTGCTTTTATTCTCGCGTCGTCATTTAAGGGCGAGCCCCGCAGATATTGCTAAGCGTTTATTTAGGAATAACTGGCATCTTCGAGCAACTCGCTCGATGCTGGGCTGCGGTCGTCGACCAGTGCCAAAAAATATTTGGCAAGTGCGAGAGTTAAAGAAGGCAAACAAAGAATCTTCGCACTTGGAAAGTATTGCGTATGTAACGCCGGCAAAAATCGTAAAATTCTACGAACACGTTGCAGTCTTGGTTTATAAAGTATAATCACCGTAGTCGGCACGAAAACAAACAGGGCGGAGCGTCTCTTTTAGGTGCCCAGCCTTTGGCACATGCCCGTTGCTCTTCTCTGTGCTTGGGGAGTGCGTGCACTCTCAAAGCCCGCGAGTCGATGAAGAGTTGTCGAAGCTAGAAAGCTCACGCTGGGGGCATGACAACTGAGACCCCCCCCTGCGATGTCCTCTGTTGCCGCTTTGGGACCACTTCCGACACGCAGGCGGGATTGGACGCCGAACGCACCGGTTGGCATTCTATGTTCGGGGCACCGTACAACGGTTGAAGAATCTAAGGAACGGTGAAAACACTGTTGCGAAACGGACTGATGTGCCATATTTCCGCTCATCCCTTTTCACTCAGGAGGCTCTGCCTCGATATGTCTGGCCCGGCGGTTGATGCGTTTCTCCCCGGGGCTGCCCCCTGCAGGCCATGTCGAATGCGGAGGAGCAAGAAAATGAGCTGCTCGTCCTGGAAAGCATCTTCGACGCGTCAGTCTTCTCAGTGGACAAGGGCCAGCCGCCCACGGGTCACTTCTTGGCCTGCGTCACCCTACCCAAGCCCTTCTACGTCCTCATCCCCAAGGTCAATGCACCGGGTGAGTGATTACAGGCGAGCGGTGCAGCGAACCGAACGACGAAACTCGCTCCAGATTGTTTCTGGTGTTTCCGAGAGTTATTGTTCGCAAATAAAGAAGACCGTATTAAATAGCCCAGTGTGCGGTCAAGTCCGTACACAATGTATTACTCAAGCTGCCATTGGTGGCACTGCCAACATGCTGCCGAGGCAGAACGGCGTGCCTTCTTCAGGTATTAGGCACTCCCAATTTGATTATCCGCATCTCTTGTATCTGACTTGCATCGGGTTACAGGCAATCCAAGCCAGGTTGCAAATAATCCTGACCAGACTGCAAGTAATCTAGGCCAAGTTGCTAGCAATCCTGGCATGGCTCTAACCAATCTTTGCTAAGTTGCAAGGCTAAGTCGCGTATTAAGGGCGGTCCAAACCAGCCCGTAACCCGTTCTCTGGGAGGCAGAATGCAGAATTTGTTTTAGCGGTACTACGTCACTGGTGACATACTTCGGCTTCCGCTGGACGGATATCAGAGTTGTAAATATTTAAACTTTTGGGACCCTGCAACAACTGGACGGGAGCAGGAGTGGGAAGGGTGCTCCTGGCTTCGGGAACCTTACAAAAGGACAAAGAGAAGCTAGAAAGCAGTTGCTTTTGTTTTCTCCTAGAAGCCACTCAAAATTCCCACAATAGGTGCTTTTTTTCCCGATTCCGCCCAGGGCATCTACCACTGCACATTTTTCCCTTTCCCGCTGCTGTCCAGCGCAACGAACAACCCCCTCAACTGGTTCAGATTGATTTCTATTGACGATTGGTTGTGACATCAGACGCGTTCCGTTTAGCCGCCTGGGGAACCGCCAGGACTTCACTTAATCGGCCGCTCCAGTCCCCGGTGCACTGGCTGCATCGCCCAAACAAGCCCACACACTTTCAACTTGATTGGGACCCGCACGTCATAAAAATATATCTGCCTTCTGCCTCCTGGAGACCGGATTGCAGCCTCTTTTGGACCGCCCTTAATCCCAGCCAAGTTGTAAAGAATCCCGGCCAGTCTGCAGCAACCCCAGCAAGGTTGCATGTAGTCCTGGTCAGGTTGGAAGCAGTCCCGGCCAGTTTGCAAGCAATCTTTCTCGTATGATTGCTTGGCATCTCGGGTCACTGCTACCAGATATTATGCATGGCCAATCTTGGTGTGTGGGTACCAATGAAAGTGTCGCTGCGCTCTTCGTCGACAGGGGAGATGGAAGACCTTGGAGTGGAGTACCTGCCGCCTATTCGTCTGGACTTTGAGTTGCCGGAAACTTATCCGTCTGAGTCCCCGCCCAGTTTCTGCATCAGCTGCCCCTGGCTCACCCTACGGGAGGTGAGGGACTCCCTTGGGTGGCGGATTATGAGTCTTTTTGTGCCACCAGCAAATCCTCTGCAGCTGGGATGGGAATGAATAGATGAAGACCAAATAGTCATTCGTTTCGATTCGGTTAAAGGCCCTAGGGGCGAATTTCATGAAGAGGAGGATTATATGATAAAAATTGACATAATCATACAATATTGAAAAAAAAAAAAAAAAGATTATGGAAGAGGATTCCACTCAAGAGAACTAGAAAAAATAATAGCAGAATAAGAAGTTGGGCAAACATGCAGGCAACGAAAAATCAATGCAGTTGCTATTTTTACGCACATTTTCAAATGCTCGAGACACGGTGACAAAAATACTAAATTATATAACATAAATAGAGCGGCATCTAGGGAGTGGCGCAGCAGTGACATAAATGTGTCGTAAGTTGGTGTGAGATCTGTTTCTTGCGAGTTCGTTCCAGTTGGTCATAGTCCGAGTGATTGCAAAAATCTGGGTGAGCTGCTGTTTGATTGTGATAATATTAAATCTGCATATTCAATGCAACTGCTATTTCTACATTCATAGTGAGTTATGCAACAAAAAAAAAATAACTGAATGTCGGTTTTTTAGCATATACTACTCGCATTTTTCCATAGCTTTTTTACCCTTCTGCTTTGCTTCTGTTGTTTGCATTCTTTGCGAGTAGTCACTTTTCGCCACAGTGAGTTACTTTTGTTTCATAAATGATTACATGTCTTATTGAAAAAAAAAAATTGATTTAAAAAATTTTGATACTTTTTGTTTTTTGGTTTGTCCATTCCACTGCAGACAGAATCAAACACTTTAAAAAACGAGTGAGCTAATATTTTTCTGTGATCGGGGTTGCCAAGGTTCGGCCGGAGACGTTGCGAATGCGATAGAGGTGAGGCCGAAAACGATTAATTTACAACGCATTATATTTGCAGAAGGAAGACGAAGATATAACGGAAAGCAAAGGTCTATGTACATAGTAAAATGGGAAATAATACACGCACACTTAAGCACATCTACAGTTTCAAGAAAAGAAGTTGTTCGGAGTAGGTCTTACAGTTTGACTTCGTTGCATCGATGAACCGAAGTGACATGCCCAAAGCAGCGAAGGCCCTTGTCTCCTAGGCGTCTGAAGGGGAGTGTGGAACTCTCGCTGCGACAGCTTGTGCACAGCAAGGGTCGGGCGCGTCCTGGAGCGTAGCCATGGACCCCATCCGCCGCTTCGTCCCGGTCTCAGTCTTCGATTATTCCCTCGTCGCCATCCTTTTCTTTTTCTTCCTCTTCTAACATCGTTGTCTCACGTGGCATCATCTTCTTCCCTCTTGTCCCTTCAACTTCATTTTATGTCATTTCTTAGAACCATGACAGGGTTGCATACTGCAGCAAGCGCAGCATGCATGCTTGGCTGATTCACAGCAGAATCTGCTTCTGAATCTGAATAGGGTCAATGAATGTCCAACGTTGCTCAGAAGCAACATTACGCAGTGGTGTAACAAGAACATATACATTTTTATTCTGTCTAAAAATTGTTTTTATATTTTTTTATATTCTCAAATGAACCCACAAAGATCTATCCATGTTGTTTTATAGAGAAAGTAGTTTAAGCAGGGAAGGGTTAAGAATCTTGAGGCCACACCTCACTACTGCCACTTGGTGGCCCTCTTGGCAGCTGGAGCGTCTGAGCCTGGCCCTGGACCAGTGCTGGCAGCGTGAACCCAACGTGGTGGTGCTCTACCGCTGGATGGGGCTGCTGCAGGACGAGGCGCTGGAACACCTGCAGCTGGAGACCAACCACAGCCTCAAGCCCCTGGTCCAGGACCTGGCCTGGCTGCCCAGTCGACCCGGTGAGCGGGCAAGCCGAGCCAATCCCACTCGCTCCCGACCCTCATCTGGTTGCAGCGCGGTGCCTGGATCGGCGTTGTTATATTTATTGCTTGTCGAGCTCCTCGGAAGAATGTCGTTCGAAAACTGTCCTCCTTCGTCACTTGCACGCGAGCGGGTACGGGTGGACGGCAATCCCAGCACCACCGGCGGCACTGCTCCCACGGGCACCAGAGAGGCACTGTTTTTGAACGACGTCTCCTTTTGTGCCAACTTTGCGTTTACCATAAAAACCACGACAGAATTGCTTTTTATTGTAGGCGATGTGAATCCGATGTTCCACCGGTTCTGCCGCTTCCGTCCATATTGGCTGGGCCAATGGTGCAGCGAGCGCTGCCGAGCAGACGTGCCGCGAAAAGGCGCTGGGCGTTCTAAGAGCCTGTAAACACTAGTTCATACAGAGTGGATAACAAAAATGATAAAAGCTGATACATCAAAGATGTATCTGCTTCGGCTGAGGCTCCGTTGTTTGGGCTGTACATTACGCAAGGAAATGGCTCACCCTGGGGTAGATTTGGTGTTGGGATTTTCCCCTTACAACTGGTTTTTCATCTAACGCATCATGCAAAGATCTTGAAAGGAGATCTCCCAAGAAATTAGGCTGATGGAGAATCTGCTCCTCAGCGTCATGACTCATCTTTTTGGTTGAGGGTATGGGTCCCGTCCTGCATTCATCTTTCTTCAAACTTCTTCAAACCTCTGCTTTTGGAATCTGCTTGGAGCACCATTGTTACATCAATGGATGCATCTTGCCACAAGGCCAGCAAAGCGGTGGTTGAACTTCCAGTCAAATTTTGTGACCTACAACTTTTTCCCAGTACATTGGAAGTGCTTTCCAAAGTCCCAAGTTTTCTCCGGATCTTCACGTTTCCAGAGTTGACCAATCGACATTGGTAAATCCAAGTCGCCTCGCACATTCCAGAACAGGGACGGCCCGACTTTTCGAGCACGGTAGTTCATTCTATCTGCAACCACACACCTTCAAAAGCAGGCAAGTTCTTGATCTGGAACGCAGTTGTAGAGCTGCGCAGGGGGCAACTTAAATTGCATGAATCAGACAAGACCGGTGTCTTTGTGGTCTTGGATGAAGGAACCTATGGAGAGAAGGTCGCGAAAACATTGGAAAAGAACTTTGATCAACTAAAGAAGAGATTATCAGGATGTCTGCGGTGAAAAAGCAAAAAGGCTGCATATTGATGAATCTGCCTTCTCAAGAAAACTCTTGGATCTTTTGCAAAACAATATTTTTCTGTATCTTTTACAGCAAAGACACACAAGGAAGGTGTGTCACTCAGGTGCATAGTATCTGAAAGAAGTTGCTAGCAAAAACATTTGGCTTTATTTCTACAGAAGCACCTCTCCATGGTGACTCCTCCATTTCTTCAGGATTTCAGACTCTACAGAATTTATCTCCCAGCTCACCTCCCTACACTCCACCACCCACCCACACTCCATGCGTTTGTTAGATATTAAAGAACTATACTAACAGCCCTGACCCCCGAATTCTCTAGAATTCTGTTTCCGACACACTCCATGAACACGGTTTCTGTAAGTTCCAAAATACCCAAGGGATCTCTGCAAAGAACTCCACAGATTTTTTTGCCCTAAACATTCAGTCTGCACTTGTTGAATACAACGGCAAAATATTAAGGCAAAAGAAAGGTGTTTGTAAAGTGAAGTCAGTGCAATCCCAACTCGATGTTTTCGCTCCAGAAAGCCAAGTGTGTCGATACGTTGATGATTATCTACAGCAGGGGTTCTCAAACTTTTTGGTCTCACGGAACCCCAGCAAGCCTCAAAAACTGCCGCGGAACCCCCCCCCCCCCCCCATATTTGCTGACTGAGATGCAACTGATGCACAATTGTAGGTAATTTTGCTTGTGTTGCTTCCCCTATATGCCCACCATATGAATCACAATGTCAGTATAAAGTGAGATGAAGATGCTTTGCATGGTCCTGCCATGCAGCCTGTGGCATGGGGGGGGGGGGGGTTGCAATATGGGTGTTCGCGGAACCCATGAGACCAGCTCGTGGAACCCCTGTGTTCCCCGGAACCCAGTTTGAGAACCCCTGATCTACAGGGTGATACAAGGAGACGCCAGGCTCTTTAAATCGACCAGAAGATTCGGTTTCTTAATCTATCGCGCTACGACTTTGTGCAGCGTTGCCCACAGATGGTGCATTTTTTGTGTAAAAATTGCAAAGAGCGAACTTACCTGAGGAAAAAGTAAAGAAAGAAAAAGGCTTAGCTCCTATGGAAACACAGCGAAGCCACCAGTCTGCAAACAACACAGCGCCGTTTCGCACCAGAGACAAGAGATGGCTCAAGCGGTCGCGACAGCAGCTGTCGCCAACGAACGAGCAGACGACGCCGAGAGCCGGCGTATTTAGCAGACAAGGAACTGCAGTTCCTTGTTGTTACCGCGCCTGTTTTTGTTTCTGCGACTGTCGCCGCCTGCGGAACGCGCGCCGCTTTTGAGTCGAAAAGATTGTCTGCTAAAGACGCTAGCTTTCGGCGCCGTATGCTCGTTCGTTGGCGGCGTTCGTTGTGCCATCTCTTGTCTCCCGTGCGAAACAGCACTGTGTTGTTTGAAGACCGGTGGCTTTGCTGTGCTTCCATAGCAGCTACCGTAAGCCTTTTCTTTCTTTACTTTTTCCTCAGGTAAGTTCGCTCTTTGCAAATTTTACAAAAAAAAATGCACCATCTTTGGGCAACACTGCACGAATTCGTAGCGCGACAGGTTAAGAAACCGAATTTTCCGGTCGATTTAAAGAGCCTGGCGTCTCCTTGTATCACCCTGTAGTTATCCACCCGACCTCAATCTCTTCATGGGCCATTTGTGATGCATTCAATTCCTCTTCGTAAGGTCTTAAGTTTACGAGCGAAGAGCCAGCAGTTGAGGGTCTAGAGCAACTGGATCTAAGACTTCATCTTCAACCTCAAGGCCTGTGCTGGAGTTTTTAGCAACGATCCAAAAAAAGAAATTGGTTCGTCCTTTCTGCAGCGACCACTCCAAGTTGGTAAAGCTTGGAATTATCTGACCCCTGTCTGCCTCCTCTCGTTTAAAATCCCGTCCCCACCTCTAATCAGCAAGCGTCCGACGTCAGCAAGACGGACTGCTCCAATCCGAGTACCCAGCAGGCCTCCTCCGTACCACCCTTCAGCGTCTTATCACAGCCCGCAACTGCCCTTCATCTAAAAACAAAGGAGAAGGACACACACGCTTACGTTCCACATGTGCATAACACTGCCCGAAGAGTCTCGCTCCTCGGTTTGATACGAAGGTGGCCTTCACATGTAGGATGAAGTTAAAACAAATGTGCCAAAGGGTGAATAATGGAATCCATCCACCAGAGTGCTCCATCAAGCGCTTCAGCCAGTAAGTTAAATGTAAAGAAAAGCTATTATATTCTATTCCGCTGAGTTGCGGCATCCAATACGCCCTGCAAGTGGGCGCATTTCGGTCTTCTGCGCATGGAAAAGGAGGTGTGAAGGTGGGAGAGGAGGTTATACTAAACTCCGCCTGCTTGGGGGGGTGTCGCGGATGTGAACATTTCGGCGTCAGCAATGACGGACGTGCTGTAGCAGCTGTGGCTGTAGCCATGAGTCCTTCATGTGGTTGCTGGTTAAAAAAAAAGAGGAAAGAACATTCCGCTTCTGTCCTCTGTGATTTAGAGGTCGGCTCCAATCAGGTGCTGACCAAGGGGCAGTGTTACCAGGGGAAGTGAAAACTTGGTGCATTTTCGGATAATTTCTTGGGGTATTGACAGATTGGCAGCTCTTTCTTGATTCGGGAGATGGTGGTGCATGTCTGTTCTTAGTTGGTGTAACGATTTGTATGATTAATTTTGATAATGAACGAGACTCTAGCCTATTAAATAGGTGCGTGGTTCTCTGCACCTTCTACCTTTATTAGCGGCTCCTAGCCTCACGAAACAGAGCAATAACAGGTCTATGATGCCCTTAGATGTTCGGGGTCGCACGTGCGCTACACTGAAGGAAGCAGCGTGTTTTAACCCTGTCTGTTAAGACAGTAAGCTTAGAAAAAAGTGACGAGCAAAAATTGAAGTCAATCGGATTACCCCCGAGCAAGTGTTCATCCGTTTAAATAACAGGGCATAGAAAAATAAGTTTTCATAAAATTTCGCCAGAAATAAAAACAATAATTACATCTTGGTGTCAACGAGTCTACGACATAACTTCCGCGATACGCTCGACGCCGTGCACGAAAGGAGGGAACTTGCGGACGCTAACCACTCTCGTTCTCGGTTGTTAGCAAACAAACCTCGGCATGTCGGCCACCTTGCGCGTGAGTCCTTTGGCTTCGCTCTTTGATACCTGTCTGGTAATTGTTAGACAGAAACACATCATACCGCTCGAGTTATTTCGCCTCTCCTCTCTGAAAGGTGAAGTCGAGCTCGCCCATAGAGGTAAGACAGCTGTTGAATAACAGACGACGTTGCAAAGTAGCAGACGACGCTCAGATAGTGGGTCTCGGCGACCCACTATCTTTCTACTCGAGCCAATTACAGCTCGGCGTTCTGATGTTGCCGCAACCCCTGCACAAGAAGCAGACGAACTTGCCCTCCGCATACATCGGCCAGACGGGAAGATGCCTGAACGTCGTTTGCCTTAGGGAACACCTTTTAGAAGTCTCCAAGGCGTTGTCTGACTCTTACCATCCAATTGTTGTGCATGCCCGCACCTGCCAAAATTGCACCCCTAGCTATGTAAACACTACAGTGCTTCGTTAACACAAAGACAAGTATGGGCGAGAAATAAAGCATTTGTGATCAAAAATGCTACAAACAATGTTTCAAAACCTTTGTTGTCGTTATCGACAAAAGGGCTGGAATTCCTCGTGCCAGAATTAGCTTAGAAAAAGCCTCCTTTAATTTTCTTCTTCTCTTTCAAGAATTTAGTTTTCATTTATTAAATTAATTTCTTCTTATGATCTTCTTAATTTCTTAATTTTATTTAAACTCAGCTTTTTTTATCGATCTTTTTCTAGTATTTTCGTTTTTCTTCATTCTTCTGTGACCAAAGTGTAGTTCGTAGTGCGATGGGCACAATATAAATGTGTCGTGGCTCGTTGAAAGAACCGTGATTCTCTATCCTTCGTCCATTTCAGTGTTTTATTCTTTCTGTATGAACTACAGTTTATCCAAAGCACTCTGCTACCTGTACTTGACAACTCATTTTGATCTGGTAGTGTTGGCCTGGAAGGCGTCTTTGACTGGTGCGTTAACGCGTCTTCAAATGCGGTCTCTCGATTTTTGTTTGATGAGGTCGTAAAAGGGCTCCTGCCCTAAACCAGGCGACAACACAGCAGCGAGGTTGGATGCGGCAGATGCCCGCTTTGGTAGAGGTCGCTCTGCTGCAGGTCGCTCTACTACAAGTGGCTCTGCTGCGGGTTGCTCTGCTGTGGGTCGCTCTGCTGCGGGTTGCTCTGCTGTGGTTCGCTCTGCTGCGGGTTGCTCTGCTGTGGTTCGCTCTGCTGCGGGTTGCTCTGCTGTGGTTCGCTCTGCTGCGGGTTGCTCTGCTGTGGGTCGCTCTGCTGCGGGTTGCTCTGCTGTGGGTCGCTCTGCTGCGGGTTGCTCTGCTGTGGTTCGCTCTGCTGCAGGTCTCTGCAGTTAAACAGTCAACCGAAACCAAAACAGACACGAGATGGGATGCCGCGATGACGGCGAGCCTTGTTGTTGGCTCGCCTTTTTTACTGGCATTTATGCAACCGACCACCGGGATCACGACATCCCATAGCACGACACGCCGGCTCACGCGATGCAATTTAAGATGTTCGGACCACTTTTGATGTGTCGGCTGGACAGGACAGTAAACACACTGGTCGAAGACGCATTTCAGGCACCATACCTTGAACTGGAGTGTTTACCGCGGTTGCAGATATGGTCTCTCGTTCGAAGGAAAAGCCCATAGAAGCTAAGGTGGAGCCAAACTCGACCTTCTTCGGCCAGTGTCCGGGTACCTTGGCCCTAATCCGCCAAACAAGTGCCAAAGATAGGCTTCGCTGCAGGTAGTTTTGTCTGGCAAACTTGTGCCTAAATTGCCAGACGAGTGCCAGAGTTAGGCTTAGCTCCTCGTTGTTCAATTTTTGTGCGACAGCTCTGGGCCCAAATTGTTTAAGAAGTGCCAGATATAGGCTCCACTGCTGGTCCTTTGGTACACAAGTGGCACCTTTGATTCGAGTCTGGCACTTTGGTAGGAAAACGCCAAGGAAGCGTGCTCGTTACGCCAACCACCACCTTGGAACAAAACCGTATCGGGCTCAAGTTAGGCGGTTATATGGCGTGCTGCCCGGGCCTTCACGCTAAGCCCGTCCTGACCCGGCCTTGCGGTTACGGATGCAGGAGAGTGGCGGAAACGCTGCTTCCAGTCCCGGGGCAAGTTGCAGTACGACTGTCGCTGCTTCAAGGAGTGGCTCGATCATCGGCAGCTGGCACCCATGCTCAGGGGTGAGACCTACCGCTCCCTTCTCCTTCCTTAGGGCTCTTGTCCAGCGCCGGGCCTTGCCCAGCCTTTGGCCCCACTCGGCGATGCGGATAATCCAGCCGCGATCACTCGTCTAAACCTGCAGTTTCCAATCCACTGTGCTGTGCTGTATTTTGGTTTTGATTTGTGCCTTGCCCTTGTAGTTACATTTATACGGGCTGTTTTTCTTTTCACGGTGCCTGACAGCCAGCAAAAACATTGTGCAATTACACGATTAAAAAAAAAAAAAAAAGGAAGGAAAAAGCACGGAGGGGGAAGAACCGTTTACACCCTAAAGATTGTGCGGCTACCCCATAAACGGCGCCAGCGTGCTTACTCCTCGCAAGAGATCACAAGGGATTTTAGTGCACTTGGTTGCATGCGGTCGTAAGTGCGGGAGTCGGCTTTGAGAGGGTGCCACCATAGCATCTCGCCACCGGTACACCGACTCTCCCTCGTGGCTGTAACCTCGCCTGTGACACGCGCGCTACGTGTTGCCCTTGCAGAGTACAACGCGCAGGAGAAGCGCCGGGTGTTCGACAGCGAGTGGCTGACCTGCCAGGTGTGCCTGACGTCCAAGCTGGGCCGGGAGTTTGAGCCCCTGGTGGGCTGCGGCCACCCGTTCTGCCGGGAGTGCCTGGAGCAGCACTTCCGCATCCAGGTGGAGAGCGGGGCCACCCTGTGCTGCCCGCAAGAGGGCTGCACCGCGCAGGCCCTGCCCACGCAGGTATGCGCTCTGCTCCTCTTCGCAGCAACGGCACCTACGGCACCACGTCGTCGTTGCCGCTCGGGGTGGGTCGGCACCTGTGGCACCCGCCCCGCCCCGAGCGGCAATCGCGCCGAAGCTCGACAGGAGACGCCGGATATGTCGGTCTTGGTGTCGCCGCGTGCCGTCATTGCTACGCTGCAAGACGTATAGATGGTGATGCCGACGCAGGCTAGGTGGCGCTGCTGCGCAAATCCGTTAGTTGTTACGTTCGTTAGGGAGAAGCGCAGCGCTTGTCTTGGTGGTGTTGGCCCAATGAACCGAGCCCACCTTTACCCTTTAAGTGCCTTGGACGAGCTGAGCTCGTCCAGTGGTTTTTTTCGGTAGCCTTCAATTCCACGGACAAACTAGGCTCGTCTGAGTAGTTTGCGGCGCTGATCATAGATAGCAGCATTCGTTTTAGTTGGTGCATTTGTTTTTTCGCCGCCGCTGATTTTTGCGTAATAAACTTTTGAAATTTTATCTGTATTACTAGAGGAATAAAACTTCTAAATAAAAAATAATATATGGCACTTTTAGGTTACTTTTCGAAAAAAAAGGGGCACTTAAGGGATTAGAGGGATACTTCAATGAAATTTGAAATATACCTGTTGTGTTCAGAAATAGGCTGATTATGATCCACAATATCCGTAAATGACAATCGCAGGTTTGTATTTTGAGCCTGTTGGCTGTATTTTTCGTTATAAATGGCCAACTCTGTCAAGCGCTCAGAAAGCAGCCAGCGAAAAGCACGTCACATCCGGCGCAATCGTGATGTATTCTGTCTTGGGATGACCAAAGCTGCGGCGAGGCCGACGTCAGGATGTCTTAGCCGTTCCAGCCACCAAAGCAGCCGAAGCACGCCAGCGATCGGGCCACCGCAACTAGCCTCAAAGCAGCTTTTGTATGAATTTTGATTGACGGGTTATTCGTCCATAATCTTGTATAGGGACAATAGCGACGTCTGGGACACATACAAGGGAGTCTAAGGTGGGAAGGTTTCCTCCTTTCCCTCTTCTCTCGTGGTGGCCGGAGGTGAGACAGTTAGCTTCACTACCTGTCAAGGTTCCTAGATGGGCATTACAAACGGGGCGTTAGCGACATCCACCTGGTGCTCTTTGCTAATAATTTAATTTGTCTTAAAATTCCCTTTTGTGTCATTTTTAATGAGAGATTGCTTTTTCTGATGTGATACTGCACCCTTGAACACGAATAGACCCAGAAATAAACGTCGAAATTTTGCCGTAGCATCCCTTCAAAGGGGGTAGTACAACGATTTTAACGTCGTAAGAATTCGAAGCTCGTATTTCGTAGACTGTCTTTCTTGGCACGAGGGAGAGGAAGTGTGTTACCTTCCCTCGAAATCCTGCGATTTCGCTGCGTGATTGCGAAGGAAAAAATGGGTGCCTTTTTTCGTGGGAAGTAGTGAAAGCGATAGCTGTGGCGCGTTTGCGTAATGAGGGCGAAAGGGCGGTCGTCACGTGCCCAGGGATGGTACGTGACGGCGCCGTTTCACCTGCACTGAGCGATCTTGACAACAGTTATTGTTTTTACTACTTCGCACGTTGATGGGAAAACCTCCCCGACACGAGCGAAGGCGCAGAATTTCTTGGTGTTGTTCAGCGGCGAAGGGAGGGGGTAACGTTGACGTTCGGCCATAAGTGGAGAGGGGGACGGATGCGGAGAAACGAGGTAAAGTTTGGTGGGGAAGGTGGGTGCAAGGCGAGGAGTTTCGGCAGAACATACGTTACACTTTGAGTCGAGTTCGAGAAGTAGAGATGTCGTAGTGAAGTCGAACGCGGTTGAACTTTCCTCCAACGTCACGCGAAGCAACTGGATACTGCCGAAGCGGGATTTCGTGTAACGTGAGTAATGCCTGAAAACACTTGTTTTGAAGTTACCGTTAGTGGACGACGCTTCCTCGTCCTCACGCCGTTATCGGCGGGTCGTCAGGGGTGTCCTCTCTTCCCCCTCTGTTTGGCACTGCCAATAGGAACACCCAACTTCTCTCTCCTCACGCTACGTAGGGAAAGAAGTAGAGTTTTTGCATCTCTGCTGCAACGACAGACGACAAACGGCGAAGGTGCCCCCTGTAAAGCCATTACTTTAAAAACAAAGTTTTTCTCGACCTGTTGCCCCCATGTGGCGGTCATAGGAACCACGGTGTGACACCATTCGGGGCATGCATGTTTTTGCGGCGCCGTGATCGGAATCAAACAAAACCATTTCTTGTCTGACGCTACCCTCTCCATCTTTTCCGTGGCGAACCTCGTTTTGTCTCGATTGCTCGCTGCGACCTTCAGCAGTGCTGAGTAGGTGTGGTGCTCTATTATAGCCGAGTCGGATCTCGAAAGTTCGACAGTTGTGGGGTGAGGGCTGAGGGCACTTAAGACAGAACCGAGCATGGCACTTCCTGCGACGTCGCTGTGCACCTCACTCGAAAGACGGAGCGAGTTGAGGATTACCCCAACCCTCAGTTTGTTAGATTGTTTTATGCACGCACAAAAAGATGTTTTTAGAGCGCAGCTCTTAGGCACCTGTTTTCGGCTTGAGCCGCGTCGCCGTTGCCGTCAGCGTAACCGCGTGTTGCATTATGGAAAAATTTAGCAGGAAAAGTTTTTGTAAATTTTATGCAAAATTTAGCCGAAATCTTTCTCCACTAGATTTAGCAAAAAAATTTCCCCGCTAAATTTGGCAGAAAAATTTACCGCTAAATTTGGCAGGTAAATTTCCTCGCTAAATTTAGCGGGGAAATTTTTCTGCTAAATTTAGCAGGGAAAGATTTCTGCTAAATTTAGCAGGGAAATTTTTTTGCTGAATGGGAGGGGAGCAGGAGAGGAAAAGAGGCATATCCTCTCCTCCTCCTCAAGAGCTGCGCTCTAATTCAGCATTTACAGAAAATTGTAAATGTCTCATTTTTTTTTTATTTTTTAGGTCAGAGGTTCTCAACCCCCGATGTTTCGCGGACGCCTTGTGGATCGGCGGAAATTATGAGGGCTCCATTCATGGTGAGGGGAGGGAAAAGTTAAAGGTTAAATATAATGATTTAATAAATGGATATAACTAAGTGCTAATGTGAAGTAGACCTCTCTTATTAACATACACACGAGAAAACTGGCCCGAAAACTGAAACATTTCTGAAAACGGGGATCTGAAAAAAGACAATCTTTATTGCCGGACTTGACTGATGAGGCAGGGCTTCGCGGACCCTTGGGAAGCCTTCGCGGACCCCGAAGGGTTCGCAGATCCCCGTCTGAGAACCATTGCTTTAGATGATATCGACCAATTGCAGCAATTGGCCGAAGTCGGGAAACTGTTGCACCGCCCCTTTAACTCTTTGACGGTTGTCTCGGTACATGTACGGCGGCTATTACACATATAAAAGAGCCCGTCTTGATAAGAGACTACGCCCACCGCAGGAGGTGGTGCCATTTGTTACGTGTTTGGCGAACTGTAAACAGTATATTCACATGGCGTTTTCGATGTATAATTTGAAATGAGACGCTCCGCACGCACGATGTGCTTAAGACAGTCCAATTCAGGCTGTTAACGCTTGATGAAAAAACAGTTAGGGCGCAGGCGAGCTGGTGTAAGTTTACCATTTTTTTAGACCACCTGAGACTGGGTGGAAGAAACACGACGACATCTCAACACGACGACGTCTCAATACAAACAGTTAGGGCGCAGGCGAACTGGTGTAAGTTTACCATTTTTTTAGACCACCTGAGACTGGGTGGAAGAAACCGTGTTTCTTCCACCCACCGTCGTGTTTCTTCCACCCAGTCTCAGGTGGTCTAAAAAAATGGTAAAATGTTAACGCTTCTCGGAATTAAATTCAGAGGACGAGAGCTTGCCATCCGACGGAGAAGTTCTGTAAAGTACCTTCGGTTCGGAATCTGAAACCGCCGAAATGTTGCGGAAGCGGACCAGCCAGAATGGAACCGAATGGAAGAAAGGTGTCAAACTTTTCGCTTTCAATATTTCTATTTGATGCTTCTAGACCCAAACGGCTTGGAAGGACTCGACGTGCTCCAAGATAACGAAGAAAAACCCGCACATTGACCCTTTCTTCGTACTATTTCTTTGGAAGCCAGACCCGACCACTGGAAGACATATTTTGGAAAACAGAAGCTCGACCGTCAAAGGGACCAGCCTCAGTTCCTCGCTGGGGCGTGCCAGATGCCCTCTGTGCGACCCCCGAATTCGATCGGAGGCCCCTTGGTGCACAGGTGAAGGCCCTGGTGGGGGAGGCCCTGGGGACCCGGTACGAGGAGCACCTGCTGAGCCAGTACCTGGCCAGCCAGGCGGACCTGACGTACTGCCCCCGGCTGCAGTGCCAGCAGGCGGTGGTCACGGAGCCCGACCTGCCCATGGCCCGGTGCCCCAGCTGCCACTTCGTCTTCTGCCTCTACTGCCGCATGGTCTACCACGGGGTGCAGCCCTGCCGACTCAAGCCCGGTGGGTGGCACTCGCGCGTCCCGTTCCTCCCTGCGTTTTTTGCTTGGGGGGAGGGGAGGGGAGGGGAGGGGAGGGGGGGGGGGAGCGAAGACGGGGGCGGAATGCGACGATTCGTAGGCACCGTCGTCGTCGGTTTTGGAAAAGAAAACGAGAGAGGGGGCAACAAAAAGGCGGAGAAAGAAAGCAGACGATAGGTCAGGCGGGTTCGTTTTGCCGCGATGCATTAAAGTTCGAAGCGCTCGTCAACTTTATTTTTTTACGATGCGCGATGCCGGTGTTTTACTGCAAAGTAAGCTACAAAAGAACTACTAGGTGCAGACCTTGCAGGTGATGTTCTGCTGCTTCTTTGGGTATATTAAAAGGGAACTGAAGCAGTTCTTTATTTGAAAGAATTTCGCCTCTAGAATCACAAACATGGAGATTATTTTTCACTTTGGTGCACGGATGGCTGCAGAAAATAATTATTAAAGTACCGTCGAAGCCCCCCCTTCCGGGAGAGTGGTGTCATGTACAGAGTTTACAACATTCTCTGCTCTTGCGCATCTTCGGCACCTATCAAAGCTATGTACGCGCACACTCACTATTTCCACTAAGGTCAGAAAAAGACGTTATTACCGGTGTCAGTGCGGGGGAATATACCTGGCAGGCTTGCAATTGCACATACTGTCCACACGAGCGACACGCACATGGCGGCCGAATGATCTGCGCACGACGTAACGACCAGTCGGAGGGTTTTCGTGTTTTCTTGCGTCTAGTTACACCTTCATGAAAAACAAACGTGATTATTCAGATTTATGAATAAAAATGCTTTAAAATTCACCTCTTACTCGTTTTTCTCAGAAACCCTAATAGATAAACACGGGTCGGTCGGGTGTGGGTTTCCTCTTAACGTTTTGCCGCGCGTCCTTTCTCCCGATGGTTAGAGGGGCGCGACCACCCCAGTAGGTTTCCCGAAGGCAGCAACCTTGTGGGGCCGGTCGTGGAGCCTCTTGGCGGGGACGCACATTGCTCAGGGGAAGTCGCAACACCTCTCGCCTCGTCCCGCTGGACGTGGCTTGGGGGATGCCGCGGCCAGACCCCCCAGCACGTCTGCCGTCTGTTTCTGGGTCGAAGCGGGATGGGGTCGCCTGCTGACGTGTCGTTGTTTTCTGGGAAGTCGTCCACTTCTGCTTCCCGCCTATCCGCGCTTGTCCAGTGCCTGGAATGCCCAGCGTGCGTTGGTGCCACCGGATGCCGAACGCTAGGTGCGAGGTCGACCTTTCTGGGAAAGGGGAGGCGGACGGGGAAAGGGCACGGGTTTCTTGGTTCGGAGACGACGATGTTCGCACCTTGGGTGTATAACTGTCCTGCTCTTTGAAATGTACAAATTATACGTCCTGTTACCATCAACTCTGGAGTCGCATCTGCCATTCCTGGTCACTGTCACCACATTCAGCGGCCAGCTCTCCGCCGCCTCATCATTTAGGTTCTGACGCAATTCCGCGGGAAACTTGGGAGAACCTTCATCACTATGACTACTGGAAACGGGCCCCATTTTTTCACTGCGAATTTTTTAAAATTGCTCGTAACTTTTGATTGGATGATCACAAGCTCTGAAACTTTGGCATCTGGTTCAGCTGGCTTGTGTTACGTTTGTGTGGAGAAAAAGTGTTTGGCAATGCAAAGTTTATATTTGCAGTGAGAAAAACAACAAAAAACTGCAGAATTATTTTCGTAGAGATGTACTAATCACATGGCTTGTTGTAGCAGATGGAAGGAACTAACAGTCTAATGCATTATCGCGCAAATGTCGCAGCATTGACGGCTCCGGTGAGAGGTGCCTCTGGTGGGGTACTGGAATGGCTGCGCACCATTGTTTTTCGGACAGCTTTTTGGAAGCCCGCGCTTGGCAAGGTGATGTAGAAGGAGTCAGACACACACAAATTTGTAGGCTTAAAAACGTACGAAAAAATTTGACAAATGAAAAAACACTGGCAGCACATGAGATGTGCTGTCAGTGTACCATCTTATAGACCTTTGCAAAAAGAGCGCTCTGGCCGCCGCCATTTTGCGAATCGAGCGACCCCTATTGGCCAGAAATTTCTGGCACCCGCCTGAGCTGTGGAAACCCGGTCAGCGTGACTCCCCACCTGCATTGTGCATTCGGAGTTTACCGGCTTTTCTTGGGAGTTTTTTGTTTTATTCGCCTGCTTAGGATGCTTACCCTTTGTATGTTATCTTCCACTGTGAGAACCAGGGAATCCAGGGCTCGTAGCCTGCTCGGCCTTCGCAGGAAACGAACGACGAGAGCGAACGTCAAGCAGCCCGCGACGCAGGCAGTTCGACGTTCTTGGAGGATTATTTCCGTTGAGATAATCTCCAAAAAGCTTTCCCGGCTGTGTTCCGGGTTTTCGCGTAAAATAGCTGATAGAGTCGGGTCCGGGGTGTGGAGACGGAATAGACACGTTCGTTCATTTGCTTTGAAGCTGTGAAAAAAAGAAGGTCTCTTCTACATGTTCCCCAAAGCACGCCGGATTCCGTCCGATCGTCGTGAAGTGACTGTCGTCGACACTGCATATTGGATATGCTGTGTTATTTGAGACCTTTCTCAAATCCTGTTCGGATAACGCGGCACCGTGGGGTACGTACAATATATGTTATTCAATATTGAATTTCATGTTGTGGACGGGGAATATCCATGCAGTTCGGATATCCTGTGTGGTCAAATATTTTGACCTTTAGAGATTGACACGGCTGAGTGTACGGTGCCGTAAAACGATGAACATAAAATGAAACAAACATTCCAGTTGCATTTGTTCTGTCGAGCACGGACTCACCAAAACAGCTTTCATTTCTTTGTGTTTGTCTCCAAAAATAGATCACTGCTTTTTAAAGACCTCTATAAATTATGTTCCCCACAGAACACAAAAAAAAAAAAAAAAAAAAAACGCGGCAATTCAGCTGCCACCAGCGTCCGGAATTGCGCCTACGCAGGCTGCCACAGCTTACCGACGAGAGACTCCACAGCCCAGCGCAGTCGGGCAACACTGACGTACACTCTCAAAACCAGGGACGCGTGCTGTAAATGGCTTCGTTCGAGACTGCCGCTGGAAAGGTCTATATGTTCAATTTTTTTTCAAAAGTTTTTACACATTTTACCAATACGCTTACCGCAAAAAGTTTGCGGCTGTACCTGTGTGTTTTGGTATGCTCCTTTGCAAGAAAGTTGCATGTGGAAGATTTTTTCTTTGTCCATTTTTTTGTTACCTTTGTCAATGCATGATTTCTATTAACAACACACTCGTGTTGTCTCTTGGGGTTTCCACAGAATTTTGCTACAAGTTTCCTAAATTTATATGAACTTTTTGGAGGTCTCCCAGAAGTTTCCAATCAGTTTCCTGAAAGTTTCCTGGAAGGTTCTTGAAAGTTTTCCAGAAAGTCCATGGATGTTTCCCTAAAGTCTTGGAAGTTTCTTTAATGTCTCCTTAAAGTTTCCCTATTTTCTTAATGTCCCCTTAAATTTTTTCTTTACGTCTCCTTAAGGTTTTTTTAACGCCTCCTTAAAGTTTACTTAAAGTCTCCTTAAGGGGGGACATGGGCCCGAGCCTCAAAATTTTTTGAAAAAATTCATTTTTCAATTCTGAGGTTTTCAGTTTTAGAAGCTAATTATACACCCTTACACTAAATTTCATAACCATGCGCCAAATAGTTCCGTTGATATATTTTCAGCATATTGTGAGGCAGTAACAAAGTAAAGGAGCTAGTTCAATGTTTGAATGCATTTTTCTCAGTTCCACTTTTTGCTGCAAATTTCATACGAAGGAATCTTTTGTTTGAAGGTAAAATTATTGTGATACCACAATCAAGATGTTTCTGAACTGAAATTTACTGGGGAATTGGGCTATCTACTTTATTTTGTTTTACATTAAAGTCCTCATTGAGAAAAAACTATGTTTTCAAAAATTGTCATAGGACAGCTATGCATCTCATATTTTGAGGTAATCACTGTTCCTGAAATATTTACATTTAAGTTATAAAAACTAGATAGCCCGAAGTCCCATATCCCCCACTTTATACTCAAGCACTTAAAATGGTGCATAATAGCTTCCTTTGCATATCATAGATTTCTTAACGAAGAGTGACACATCTTCTTATGCAGGTATGTAAAGTTGCCCTAGAGAGCTGAAAGTTTGCACAGCACACCTACATCTGAAGTTAAATCTCCCCTGCTAGTTTCATTCCGATCACTTGAATAGTTCAAAAGTTCAACCTCTAGCCAGTGTCCCCCCTTAAAGTTTTTTTAATGTCTCCTTAAAGATTCCCTAATGTTTCTTGAAGTTGAGCGGAAGCTTCCAGATTTCGTCGCAAGTTTTTTCCATCAGCTTCTGCTGCACTGCTGGCTTTTCTTCAGGGCCTTCGACGCGTAACCCTTTAAACAGTGTGGATAGAGAGCCGAGTAAAAAGCCTGTAGTCCTAAAATTGCCAGGGCTACAGGCTTCAGCTAGTTTCTTAGAGAATTTTAAGCATCGTTAATTCTTCTCTTTCACACTGGGGTTTTCCTACCGCACGGAGTCAGTGTACATTCCTGTAAAGCGAAACTTTTCAGTGCTTTTATTCTCCTAACTGAGCAAGCGGAAAGTGCTTTCCCGCCTGTAAAACCGATTTAGCATGCAAGGAGCAATTTATGGTGGAGGCTTTGGCTAAATCAAGGTTTTCCTGTTGTAGTCACCTAATGAAGTTGAGCAAGGATTTTTACTTCTGGAAGACATAAAAATGGGGACCAAGAAAATTGTTGTATCTTTAAGTGGAAATTTAGAACTGAATTCTAGGAAATGTGTCTCTGGTTACAAAAAAGAGGTGGGGCTGAATTCTATTAAAAAACAGAGAATGCTTCATATATGTGCATGCTTTACAGATTGATTTTCAAAAAGCAGTGGAAGTGCGGCCTGTAACGGTGGGTTATACGACCAGGATGGCATAATATAAGGGGTTAATCGTCGCAATAAATCGGATAATTAACTAAATTTTGCTAGTTACCTCTTTTACTTAACTCAGTTGGTGAAAGTAGGCATATGGTTCCAATTAAAAACTTGCAGAGCATCATTGGAAACCACTAAATCAGTTAGTTTTTAGGAGGACCTGGAGCATGTGGGAAACGGGGCGGTGCTCTAAAACGGGGGCCTCCAAACCCCGCCCACGGAGGCCTTCCGATCGGCCCACGGCTGCCCGCAGCCCTTCCAGTGGCGCCCTGCCCGTGGCCAGCTTCGAGCAGTCCCCCGCTACCGGCGCCAAAGTAACCACGCGTAAACAAACGGCGCCGCGGTGCGCCGTCTTGGCCGTTTTTGGCAGCCAGGAGTTGATGCTGCGACAACGGCGACAGTTGCATTCTGTCATACTTTGTTTTAGAGCTTCTACGCCCAACTGCCAGGATTGCGACATCCGACGGCATGCCAGTCCGACTTTTTGTGTCATCACTTGTTGGCTTTCGACGCGTGGGTGGAATAGGACGTTAAACGCATTGGTCGCAGACGCAGTCCGGATACTGATGTTCCACGTGGAATCAACCTCTCGAACTGGCCGCGACCGTTCTCGCGCAGGGGAGCAGCGTGCAATCCGGGACCAGTACCTGAATGGGTCGGCGGCGGAGAAGCGGCAGATGGAGAAGCGCTACGGGCGGCGCACCCTGCAGCTGGTCGTGGACGAGAGCCTGTCCCAGGACTGGATGCAGGAGCACAGCAAGAAGTGCCCTCACTGCGCGGTCTCCATAGAGGTAGTGCTTTGGTTGTTTGTACCCTTGCGAGGGATGGGGGGGGGGGACCCCGCCGTCCAGCTTGAAGGATTGCAGTGCGACTGAGAGTTTGGCTGGTCGTTTGCTTATTTGAAAAGCCTCGCCGGGTCGGCAGATTTTTTTGTTTTCAAGTTATAGTTATAGTCCTCAACTGTCCCTGTTCGTAAGTAAAGCACTTATCGAATTTAAGCACTGTCTTAGCAGATTTGAGCCATTCATTCGTGCGTAGCTATGAGCCAAAACAGTTATGTGCACCATTGTTTACAGGGTCCATTGGTTTCTGAACCTCTTTACAGCATCAGTGCCTATCAAAAGAAATAGGTGTTCCTTGAGATTGAAAAGCTTAAGAATCCTTGTAGACTTGAGCGTGTTGGTAATCTACATTGACTTAAAACGAAAGAAACACACAAGAGGACGAACTTGTGTGTTTCTTTCGTTTTAAGTCAATTAGGAATCCCATTATAGACCGTTGAAGCGGCCAAGGCGAACCTTATTTCCTGGCTGTCAGAGATCTCACAATTACCTTTTCCCTTTTTTTTCTAAAATTAACTTGCACGACTAACTTTTTTGGGGGACACTCTTGTTTACGCTGCTTCGTGGCGACAGTCTGATGCAGCTTATGTCGATAAAACCATAGAGTTATTATAATGTGCTCTAGAGGTTCGACTGGCGCTAGTGTCTAATCGACTTCCGGGGGCAAATTGAAGCAAACAGCAACCAGTCTACTTTTGCGGTGCTCCTGCGCATACCTATGGGAAAACACGCGTGAAATTTGTCTCTTAACCAGAAAATAACATGAATAACTTTTATTATTTTGGTTGTACTGGATAGTATGTACATTTATTAATATTGTAGATGTGTAATTGCTTTAATTACAGCATTTTTCTTTACCACTGAACCAGGGTGTCGAACCGGAACCAAACCGGAACCGAACCAGTATTTTTTCCGGAACTGAACCCGAACCCGAACCGTTATATTGTTATCGCGATGAACCCGAACCGGAACTGAACCAGAAAAAAAATAACGGTTACCGGCTCATGTCAAAACGGTTCGGCCACGCGCTGTTGACAATGAATGTGCTATCAATGCCATTTGTTTCTTAAGTGCCGTCAACTGACACACACCTCGCTTACATATTTTTCTTCTCCACTCAGTATTAGGAATATAAACGCTGCATCCATGAATCTTGACAAACGCTGCATCCATGAATCTTGACATAGGAACCAGTATTGCGCTGGTCGCGGCTTGCACGGAAAAAAAAAAATTAAAAAACTGTGCAAAAAAAAAAAAAAATTGCGTCACGGGATTTCATTTTTCTACAATCTGGTAAATCCTAAATGCTGCTGCGTGCTCATTTCATAACACGTTTCTAGAACGCGCGAGTTCTTAAAGCTTGCTTCCATCGGAATGAGAAAAGAAAAGGCTGTGGAGTTTGATAATAATGCATCCGGTTTCGTATAGGCACTTAGAAGCTAACATATTTGTGAGACAGCGAACTCTTCTATTTTAATATTTATCCTATTACGTCCTTCTGGCGTTGCGTTCGGTGAAGTGTTTTTCAAATTCCGTATCTTGTTTAATGAAAACTTCTTTAAGGGTCTAATTTGAGTTACCGAAGGCTAGTTCAAATAAAGAAAGATGTATTTTCTCCCCACTGTTCCTTCAATTGCTTACACGCCGAGGTGGCGGGATAGTTAGCGAGTTCTACTTGTAAGTGGGCTTGTAAGGAGGTCGCGGATTTTACAGCTACTGCGTCGGACCTAATTAGATGAAGTCCGAATGCGTAAACGTCGGTGAGGTAACCTTTGAGTGCACATAAAGAAACCATTCCTGGTAGAAATCTTTGAGCCTTACACTGCGATGTATCCCGTTTCGAATGTGCTGAGTTCAGATGTTTTATTTGTAATTTATTTTGATGTTGCAATTTTTCATTTATAATTTCCGAACCGGTTCGCGAACCGGTTCAGCGCCCCGAACCGGTTCGCGGATTGAATTAATCGAACCGGAACAAAATAAATTTACCTGAACCTGAACCGTAACCGAACCCGTATTTTTTTCGGTTCGACACACTGTACTGAACGATGTTAAGCTTCGCTATATTTCAGGCCCAAACCTATGTTCCATGGCAGGTATGTAAACACAAGCGACGATTCTAAGCAAACTAACGATCGAAAAGAATGTAGAGTGTGGTCAAGGTTCGCTAGTATTGCGGTGGCACTTATATATTGCAAATTGCCCGTCCTGTCATTGGTTGAAAATGACTCCGTCGTGCATCTTTACGATCGGTTTAAAAACATTAGAATGTAAGAAATAAAGTGCGTGGACTATGAAAGGTGTGTCTTTTTATTATTTCCTATGTCGGGCAGTTTTTATCGGGCGCCTGTTCTCTGACTTCTCCCTATTTGCAAAGATTTGGAGCATGCGGTTGATAATTTGAACCCAGAACATGCATCTTTGCACATATTCATGAGCAGAAAGAATAAAACAGTACTTATTTATTGCAAATCGAACTATATTACGTGGCTTTCATTTTATTTTGATCGCCCGCATGCACAAGGAGTTACTTATCCAGTGTTACTGCGTAGTTCTTGCGCTTGGTTTTCCAGATGGTCCTTTGTTCGTTTGACACGTATATCCCCCATGGTCGAAAGCGCCGATGCTGTGTTCGCGCTAACAGAGTCCGACAGTGCACATAAATACATGTACGAAGCGGTTTTAGCACCGCTTTTCATGCTACGAATTTCAAATAAAAACGCTGTAACTGACCAATTATTTCGTCTGCGCGACAGAAATGTTCCAGTGTGCCAGTACGTACGAAATATTTGTGACATTTGCTCTTATAATCGAGCGCAGCGAGAAAATGCACTCGCTTTTTTCCACAGAAATGCATTACCGGAAGTCAATTTCCGACTGGTTGCTGTCTGCTTCAATTTGCAGCAGCACACTAGCGCCACTTGAACCTCTAGCGTACATTATAATAACTCTATGGATAAAACAAATTGTCAATGAAACAATTTTCTTGATGAAACGGCGTTCAACGAACCGATTGCCACCGTCCACGGGCTAAAGTCCAGAAACTGTGGCATGTGCCAAACACTCGCTATTGTGTGCATTACTCTTCATGAAGCCTGTTAGCCTCTGCACCACATTATTCGCAGCAATGCAGAGGCTGGTAGGAGTTCTTTAGCTCTCATTCGGGATAAATTGGCGTTCCTCAGATGCCTAAAAGTTTGAGAACCCTTAGCTCTATGCGCAGCTCACTCGGCGGTCCTACGCACCGCTCACCCGCGAGCCTCGGCACCGCTGCGCGGAACTAATGGAGCGCCGTGTTTCCCGCAGAAGCAGGACGGCTGCAACAAGATGACCTGCTGGCGCTGCGGCACCTACTTCTGCTGGCTGTGCGCCGTGCCGCTCAAGTCGGCCACCAACCCGTACCAGCACTTCAGCGACCCCAACTCGCCGTGCTTCAACAAACTCTTTGAGGGCATCCAGGGTGCCGAAGACTTTGACGACAACCACGAACTCGGGGAGTTTTTGTTATAGGGGACATGTGGCAGGTGTGTGCGTGTGCAAGTCCATGGTGATCAGGTCACGGTGCCGGAGTTTCTGCGTCGTCTGCCGGGGACCGGCGTACGGCGCAGGCTGGACTCGAGAATTGCGTCGGCGTCCAACCATGAGAGTTCTAGTAGAACTGAAATGAATGTGGTGCAAAGGAACGAGGACTAGTATGAGTAATAGACTAGTAGAGGACTAGGAGGACGGAAAGCCACTACTAGTCTTCGTCTTTTTGTGCCATCTTTATTTCTATACGTGTAACGATGGTGTCCGATCCGTGCCCGGCGCCGGCTTCCCGCAAGCGACGCGGAAAGATCTGGCGCCATGACCCCGTCGCCCGATAGGCGTTGGTGGAAGCCATCGTCGCCGTTGGCAAAACCCGTGTTTGGCGAGGCACGGCCGTCGTCAGCGTCGTGCTTTGTGCGTCGAGTTGTACAGGGTGGTTTTTATTTTGAAGTCGGCAGAACGTCGGCAGGAAGGCGTCCTTTGGTCGGACGTGTCGTCGTCGTCGGGGGATCCGTCTGCGAGGCCCGAAGCGGGCTGCGATGGTGGGGATCCACACGTCCTTACAAATGCGAAGCGGAGCGTTCCCACCATACGCACACTGCGGTCACCGAGAGCGAGAACGGCAGGGCGTGAAATTCGAATGCCCGACCACCGGCACGCGCTGCACGCCTTCCGCCACGCTTTGCGTGTGCTCGAAGTGCACTAGACGTCGAGTCATCGTAGACGATATGAAGCTGGTGCCGGAGGCGGGACGATCGAAACTCTTCCCCGCCATTTTCGCATCGTCGGCGACCGTGACTTGTTTATTCGGCCAACATTATTCCTTCCTTCAATTTTATTTTTTCTTTAAAATTTTGTTACAAACGCACAATTAGACGAGGCACATTCTGTTTACTTGCTAGTTACGTTCTGTCTCTATGCTAACATGCTCATTCTGGGAGCATCGTTCATCCGTTTTATCTCGAAAATCCAGTTGCCCAATCTTTAACAAGGTTAAGATTATAATTAGTAGACAGGCCGTCTGATCTTAAGTCGTCGCATACATTCCGTTCTCTTCGAACGTGTCGAATGCAGGTGTGATTTCGCCCTAGTCGTTTTTACTCTCTCATGAATGCAGTTTTAATTTGACGACACGTCGTGCCGAAAATCGAGTTTAATGAAGTGAAGCCTCTGCGAGAATTTCTGTTCAGTGAAAGAGAAGCATCCGATTACAACGGCTTTACTATAATGTTCAAATTCGTTAGAAACAAAGATGCCCGTTTGCACGACAGACTACTAAACGAGTTGGACATACAGCTTTGACTCGTAATAAAAATTACTGGCAAGTTTTTTTTAGTTTTTTTTTAACTTTAGTTAAAGTCAGTGCCTTGTCTGTCCAATTCATTTACTTGTCGGTCGTCTCTTTGACTGTTTTCCTTTATTTCCGAGTATGTTCTACGCAAAAACAAACACCAAGCGTTACTACACAGCAGTTGCAACTCCTTTACCAATCGTAATGTAACGCCCGAGACTGTAGTGCGGAAAAATTAAGAAACTTCAGAGTAGAGAGAGAGACGGTGGTAGGGGAAGGTCTTGACGTACTCCCATCGTCATCCTTTCGAGACGTTTCCTAGTGTCGACACTTCTTCGACTTTAAATTTTCTCAATTTCCCTGCACTGCAGTCCCGGGAATTACATTACGATCAATTATCACCAGGTTACCAGTGTTCTTTTACCAAGTTGCGCTCTTTCAAGAATACTCGGACCTCCTCCTAATTGTGTGCTGTTCCCAGTTAAGGAATGTGACATGTGACTATACGACTGCTAATGAAGTAAAGCAAGTGAAGTTTCAAGCCTTGCATTTATTTCTCCTAGACCAGCACGGTTATTTTATTTATCTTTTTCACGGAATAATTTGGTGTAAAAAAAGAACCAGGTCAAATGCCAATACCGTAATGACACAAGTGTGCTACCGTAGGCTGCAACCTTCTACCAGCTTAGGTGGTTCAAGTCGGACACGACGCCACACGAAGCTGCCAGGTGGCACCGGCTACCACCACGGCTTTGTGCATTCAAAAAGTGAAATGTGCAGATATTTTGGCACTCAAGAATGACTGTGAATCTAGTACATATACAATATTGTTGCGATTCTAAGCACCCGCCCCGGTTTTCAAACATAAACACCCAAAAAAAAGTTTGCTTGCGAATGTAAGCACGTTCTGAATCTAAGCACCCCCCCCCCCCCCCTTTCCCCTCTTTGAACATCGCAGGTGTGAAGAAAGGGGGGTGCTTAGAATCGAGTAAATACAATATGTACTTCTGCCGAGCAGCCTTCGCTAAAAACGATTTCGATGCGACTTTCGAGAAAAGTTTTTTGGCCAGTATGAGACTGCAGCGAGAAAACTATGGGCAGCGATGACGTCGTACCGTAGCGTTTCGTGCAAAAAATTGCGCCAGTGGCCCATTTAAGGGGAAGTTCCAGTCTTGAACCTTTTCGTCATTTCTTATTTAATTTATATTTACATTTTCGCACCTATTGTAATTCGCTGTGCTAAGCATGACCATAAGCCAATTGTTTTTATATTATAGTTATGAAAAAAATATCTCAACTTTATTGCGCACCTTTTCGCCTAACATTTTTACCAAAACTGGCACGAAGCATGTCTGCATGTTTTTACAAACGGTAGACAGTGCAGCAAACCACTTGTCATAATTTTAGCAGCACTCTAGGAGTTGTTGCGCATTAAAAAATATTTTGCCGATAACTGGAAACGTGTCAATAAAGGTTTTGCCAAGAGATCAATTTCACCAGCCAGTTCGGCTACGCTGCCACGATGCATCGAGGGAACTGTAGCCTTCCTGCACGCCTCACAAGCCCGCTGCAGCTCTGCGTGTGGCGAGCTCCGCCGCCCAGAGCCGTGTATAAAGAGAGTTTGGTCAATGGGAGGCGCGGGCAGAGCCGGGGCATGCACCAGACTCGGAGGAGGGCTTGGCATGCTCTCTTGACCAACCAGAAACCGAAAAGAATCCGCTAGCGGTGGTAGCGAGAAACAGTTCTGATCAAAGGTATATGTTCGTATATGGTTTTAATAAGCACGTAAGAGTGAAGTGTAGTAACTCTTCGTGGTTGAAAATAGGGTGCATGTGATGTTTCGATCATGATCATGCAGAAAGATGTAAGAAACGAATGCACCGCTCAACTCTGTTTTGCTCGGACACAGTGCGACTGCTCGGAAGGCAGATCCTGGCCTTCGGCGCAAGGATTATGTCGATCGTTCCGCTAGTCGTACTCTTCCACCATCATTTTGGATGAGCGTGATTGAAACATCACGTGTACCATATTCTCAGTCGCCAAGAGTTACTCCGATGCACTTATCAGGTTTGTTTCTCGCGACCACCGCCAGAGTATTATTTCCGGCTTCTGGTTGGTCACATTAGAATTTCTGAAGACGCCCTGGAACACGCCCAGCACGCTTTCGGCCAATGGCACCTCATCATCATCATCAACGAATGGCCAAACTCTCTACATATAGACGCTTTACACACGCGCCAAATTATAGCCGCCATTGCTGACCTTTTGTCTTACCCAGATGCCGAGCAACTGAAACGGTAGTTGACGATCCTCTACAAAGGCCGATGCTTTACAAAAGGACACAGTTTAATCTAATATGGCAATTACCTGGCCTGCTAGGGTAATAATGAAGTGAAATAAACAAAATAAGAGGAAACAAAAACTGAAGGTCAGTTATGGCGGCGTCCATGCACAGCTGCTGCAAAGCGTCTATACGGCTCTGCCGCTGCCTGCCTCTTGAACTAGAAGTTGGGCCAGCTTTCTACACGCTCTGAACGCTGGGCAAGATTGGTCCGTTGGAAAATTTTGTAGCCAATATTCTCCAGAAATCTCGAGCCTTGTTGCACTGTCCGACGAGTCAGGTATCCAACCCTGAACAAAGTATCCAGGTCCAAATTCTAGATCCAAAATTATTGTAAACCAAACCTAAAGTTAACAAAAAAAAAAAAAAAAAAGTAAAAACGGAGTTTTTTTTAAGACCTGCTTGTAAAAAGCCTGGATATCGAACTTTGGATAGATTTATCTAAATAAATGTGCCCTTCAGAGTGTAGTAACTAGAACATACAGTACTTGCGACTTATATAGAGTAAAAAAAAATACAGTGAAACCCATTTAGAACGAACCCATGTACAGCGAATTGTCGATATCGAACTGTGGGAAAATTTTAATAAAAATGCATGTAAAAAGTACTTTTTATAAACTTCTTAGTGAGCGCGTTGGTAATGATGTAGGTTTAGAAAGAGTTATATATAACTCTTTCTAAACCTACTTTTTATAACTAACAACATATTTGATATATCGAACTTTTCCTCCGGGAAGGCTTCCAAAAACGCGCAAACAGTCGTCTTCTAGCCTGTCCCTTCCCCCCAAAAAAGTAGGGAAGAAAGAAAATTCCAAAAGCTCAAGTTGCAAACAAAATTGGGCGAAGAGAAGCGATTCAGAAGGGGAGAAAGCTAAAAAATACCCTCTACGCACGCACAGAAAAAACACTTTTCATCCCAAAACGGTTGCCCACGAAGAGAAGCGATTCAGAAGGGGAGATAAGCTAAAAAAAAAAAACTGCACGCACGCAAAAAATTTTTTTTTAGCGCGTTGTTACAAGGCGGAAGCGAAGAGATCAGAAAGGAAGAGAAGGCTCGCCTCACAACGAACGCACCGTGGAAGTTCATTGTAAATGGGTTTTGCTATATCGAACCGATCATAGCGTTTCCTGCTATTCGTTATAAATGGGTGTGACTGTATATATAAAAGTTTTTTTTTTTTTTTTGAGACCAAGGATTACAAAATGTCTGTGTGTCACTTTCAAAGACCAACTCCGCTGGTTTGGATTATTTATTTATATTTCAAGCTTTCCTCGATTTGTTTTATTTACTTTGTTCTGACACCTCTTGTAAATACTGGGTGCTAAGCACAAACATGAGCACATTATCCAAGAAAACTGTGACCGGGTTAATGGTTTCTGTTCATGTCTACAATACCCTCGTTGAAAACTGTGCCAAAAAGTAGTATGCCTACATATTCCACGAACAGCAGATAGTGACTGAACAGTTTTTAGCATTCTAAAAAGCGGTATTTCTTGAAATTCATACACCTGGGAGGTTTTGCTGACGTGTCAGTGACGAGGAGACATGAAAGAGCAATTTCATATATTTGCAAAAAAACAAAAGAAATGTACATACACCTTTTTATTCAACAGCCTAACCAGTTAGGCATTCATCACAATAAGACTAGCACAAATTTTTAATGCTCTAGTACTATATATATATATAATATACATATATAAACGCGCACAAAGTAGGATCTTTTCTTTTTCTTCCTGGAGACACCAAAAAATACGCGGGTCCTCCGAGCTGGTTGTTCTCGCATAAAATCAATAAATAATTGCCTCCAAGAAACGAAGCGAAAGCTCCGACAGAAACGGTGACGCGACAACAAACGCTTACGTCGCACACAGAGCAGGTCTAGCGGTTCCTTGGAGTTGCCGAGCAAACCGCAACTGTCTTGCAGAAATTTTTTTCGTACGGGTGTAGTGCCCTCTAGAAAAATGGCGGGCGTGCGCTAATTTGAACGATGGCATCGAGCGACGAAGGCCCTCTTGCAAAGAGAGCACAAACTATGTGCGGCCTAGACCCACCAAATGAGTTTCGCTTTGGAGTGACGACACTTTGGCCGTCTTGTCGCGTGTACCGTTGTTGCCAGTTGTCTAAAATCGCACGAAAAATTTTTTCGTTCCCCAGAAATGTTAAAGCAGTCCGCAACAGAAATCAAGACGTTGCATTTTCGAGTCATAACTATCGCCGATTGCGACCGCTTCGTGCTAGGCAACGCAAACGGCGGTGCCCACGAGGCAGTCGAGGAAGTGAGCGTCTGTTCTAGTACGGCTCATGAACTTTAGCCGTAAAGCCGATACGCCCTTTCCCTCTGAAGAGGAGCCAAGCGTGTGGTCGCGTAAGATCTAAATGTGAACAACCCTGCAAGCTTTCTCGCTGTGCCAGCAGTGCACAAAAACGTCGTTGCCTTACTGCTATCGGAACCTTTCCAACCAAAGGACTGAGTGCAACGAAACGTGCATGCCATCCTTGGCCAGGTTGCACGCAAAGCATGCATGCAATTTGGCGGATCCCGCACACAGACTGAAACGTGCATGCAATCCTTGACCAGGATGCAAGCGACTTGGCAAACGTAGCATACGCAGGACGTGCAACCTTCCGCCAGGTTGCATGCAAAAACGAAAATAAACGCAATCCGTGGCCAGGTTCCACGCAAGGTTTGCACGCAACTTGACAGAGGCTGCATGCAAAGAGCATAGCACATCATCTAATCCCTGGCTCGGTTGTGCACAGAGCTTTTTCGACCTATACTTTTTAACAAATGTGCCCGACAAACTATAAAACTACAATAGTGACATGTTTACCATTAACTACCCTGCCTCTCACAATGTTTGGAGTCGAAATCCCCGACACAATGGGAATTTTGTCCCTGCAATCTGTACTAGAGGGAAGTCCCATTCCCTTTTTTCTCCTTGCAATTAGGTCTTTACCACTAGTGCATGCAATTCAGCCGTAAGGAACCATCTATTTCTCTCTACAATTATTCCCTAATCTGGTTCAATAAACAAATGTACTTATTTCTCCAGTATTTTCCTCATCAGCAACGAATCCACGCGCCTGTTCCTATGCGTCAACTGCACGGTAAGAAAACAGCTTGTGTGTTCGGCTTCAGATATTTCACGAGCACACACCCTGGCTAGGGGTTATAATCACGCCTGCTAGCGTCTAGCTGATTGTCACCATACTATTGTCCCTATCAAGGGCTCAATTCTTGCTGTAGCCAAACTACAAAAAAAAACACAACTGAAAAAAGGACAAGTCTTAGATAGCTACACATCAGACCAAATGGAGCTTGAAGCTTTAGATTCAGGGCTCGCAATACCGTAATTACTCCGTTACCAGGTGTGTGCATCTAGTTACAATCATGCAGGCATCACTCAAGTGTAAAATGAGAGACTGTGCGGAAAGACAATCTAAAATTTCTCGTAGTTTAGATTAATAATCGAGTAATTTTTTTGTCAGTTGGAAGGTAGACAATCCAGTTTCCATTTCAGGGAATATCTCCAGTTTTTGCAAGAAACGTGAAGTCTGGCTGACGTTTTCTCGAGAAAATCGGGACACAGCCAAAGTGAATTTTGGTTGTGTACTTAAGAATTATGCGCAGTGAGAAAGAACAACTAAGAGACCCTTTCCCTTCGGAGTGTCAGTGGGAGGTCTAAGATCCCGTTTTAGTCCGAGCGGAGTTTCCGACGTCTGTTCTCGTTCAACTTAGATGCTGCAGGTGGTGGATGCACCCGTCTAAAAGACGTTTCAACGTCCCGGCAGACCCCCTTTCGGCCCGATTTCTTGCGCTTAAAGGGAAGATGGGGCACTTCTACATTTAAGAAAAAACGCTTGAATTGCGTTCATTTGGCTCTTAGATTAACAGATATCAAAATTGTATTTCAATGCGATGCGCAGGAGAGCCATACGAGCAATTTCAAAATAGGACTGAAGCCCCGCCCCCCTAGCCTTGGGCAGCCAAAAGATCCGTCGATGACGTCACGGACAGCGACTGTCTTTCGCGTTTTTCTCGCGTTTAACAATTCTTACGCAGCAAATGGTTTGGGTATTCGGGTTCACGGGGTAAAAATACACAAGAATTCACTTTTAACTCATTTTTTCCAAGAACCTCCGTAGCTTCCCTTTAAAGAGACAGCCAAGGACTGCCCCCACCTGCACGTCGCATTATCTCGGTTCGGGGAATTCGTGCAACGAGGCAGGTAATACGAGTTTGAACACCAAGGGCCTATTTGCTCAAAAAGCGCAGTTCAAACTCCTTGGCTACGGACGCAGCATGGGGCTTAACATCAACATTGTGTTGGCACTCCCCTGCGCGAGGCCCGGTCCTTTTCCGTTTGCATGCCGCTACGACGGGTCGGATTCCACGCTGTTGTTTGATTCACCGTAACTTCCCAAGTGTGAACGCTGTGATCCCTGCGAGCCAGTCGGAGTGACGGAGGCAAAGCACACGACGGCCCTTACCAAAGGTACAAGTGTCACCCAAGCCTCTTTTGTGTGTCTGGGACATTGCTTTTCTCCCCGTATAAAGTTAGCCTCACGCTCAAAATTCGTACAAAAGTAGCTTTGACAGCACTGCGTGCAACTAGCGAGATAGCGTATGGACATGTGCCTTCTTCCGATGCATCGATTGGCTCGCCGGGACCGCAGCTTTCCCCGTTTGCCAAGTTACGGCGAGACGCAGCATGGCGTTGATGCCGCACCGACTTAATGCCATCTCAATGCTACGCAGCACGCTTAAAGAGGCCTTAACGAGCGTTTCTGTGGGAAGAAAGGAAAGGTGGACGAACAAAGTTATTCAGTCTTTGATGCTTCGGGTTTAGGGCAGCCAACATAGGCATGACTGGAAGGCGAACAGAGTCTGGCAATTATGGCATAGCAATGGATTCACAGAGCATCGTGGAAGTCCTACGACTTGTTTCGTCGGCATAGACACTTCTAGAGCACGGAAGCACCAGACCGGACATTTTATGATCCAACGGGCTCCGTCGAGAAGACGTCCACAAAAAAAAACTTGAACGACCAAATCGACTCTCGCTCCTTTTTGTGTCTCGCCCCCCAAAAAAGCCAGTCCATTGAGTACCACATATGCTAAGGTGCTGTTACGTCCCAGTCAAAGACCACAGCACTGCACACAGTCTGGGGCAGCACAAAATAAGATGAGGGGGAGAAACTATGTCAAGCCACCCGAACGATGAGGAAAAACAAATGATCGCGGTTTTGAGTTTCAACAGATTTTCTGCTAAATTACCCGAGCATCAAGGACAATGCTGGGAATGCAGACGAACGCAGCGCTCGTAAATAATGAAAACAAAGCTTCAACGAAAGCACGCGCGACGTGCCACTTGTTTTACATTTCTGCTTTAGAGCAGCGAGTGCTGCAGACCAAAGCACATTTGGGGCACGCAACTATGCTCGCAGCATGCTTTTTTCTGGTGCTTGGGTAACTTAACAAGGTATATACTTCACTGCCAGACGATTGCCATTCGAGTTTTGCCAGCCTCCGTCACCTAGAGCCATCAAGGTACAAGGCAGCTCACGGTATTCCGCTTACTAGACACATTGTGTGACCAGGCTTTCAGAGAATCCACGGCCGTAACGAGAACACCGCGAGCCACTCCGCGTCCCAATCCAATCCGCCCGCGCTACATGAGGTTGTCCGAGTACGCAATTGCCGTCTGTCTCGCGACCATGGCGGCAGTCTAACTGGTTTCTAGGAACACACAGGCTCTCGGCAGGATTTATACCTACGTAGAATCTACGATGGGAGGGGAAGTGACTTGCACACTACACAGATCCATATCAAACGACGCCGCGCCCGACTGCAACTTGAAGCTACCGCGTGCCGTTCCGGACGACGGCCAACGTAACCCGTCCGAACCCGCCCTGTCCCAACAGTCCGCTTTCGTTCCCAGACGTCTCCCAACTGCTGCCAGCGCAGTGATGCTCCGTCCATTCGACGACGTAGGGAGGAGCTTACTTGCCACTCCAAACTATGCTCCGTTTCGCCTTGCGATGGACTGCAGGGGACGCTACGAGACATTTCGGCCAATCCGGTCCTATGATTGTTGTCGAGTAACCGCACATCCCGCTCGTTGCAGCGTCCTTCCTGAAGGTCACGTTTGAAGTTCATGTAACGCTTCCATGGCATTGGAACGGCTTCGATGGCATGTGGCATCCTCTGGTTTGTCGTAAAGTGAAGCGGAGCGCGTGCAGCGTCTTCGTCGCAGCGTGGGCGGAACAGCTCGGTGAGGCATGTTTCGGCGAGGCTTGTCTGCTTCATGGCCTCGTCAAGGTCTGAATTTGGCTCTAGTTAGTCGCATCACTTTTCAATGAGACTACCGTAATTAAAAGTGGCACAAGTTCATCTTTTACCGGTTTTACAGAAAGCGGCGAAACGGTGTTTAGTCTCACCGATCTGTTCAGCCTATGCTGGTGACAAATGAACTCTGAAACACAAGTGGCCAACTCCCTCTAGCCGTAACTGTGACCTTGGTGCAGTAGTTGGAGTAGCACACTAAGCCATAAAGCAACGGAGTTGCTTTATGGTAGTTACCCGGGTACCACGGCGGACACCTCCAACACTGACTCGCCACAACATTCCGCTCTCACATCGCCCACAATACAGCCGCTGTCCGCTCAACCTTACCTACGCGTACCAGCCGCCGCTAAAAACGGCGACTCATTCCAGCAAATCGTTTCTGCACCACCAATGGATCGTTCCAGCGCCACCGACGGATCGTTCTCACAGCGAGCGGAGCACTTTGCTCGTGTGCATTGAGTTGCAGTCCGCACGCCGACTTGGGGCACATTGCCTCTCGCTCTGGGACGGAGGGACGCTCAGGGCGTCTGCTCCTGGCACGTCTGCTGCTGTCCCAGTCTCGGGACGAGCGGCTGCTCCTGCTGGGTCGACGCGGTCTCAGCGTCCGAGTCGTCCCAGGAGGGGGGTTCGGCAGCCGCCCGCTGCACGTCGCGTGAGAGCAGCGCGGCAGTGCGCGGCGGGGAAGCGCCGAACGGGCGGTGCAGGGGTGCCACCTCGGCCTCGGCTTCGCCGTGCAGCGGGAGCGGCCGGTGAGGCTGTAGCACCTCCTCCATGTGTAGCACGCTCTCCTGGCTCCCCGTGTACTGCAAAAGAAACAACGACGACGGACGTGTCTTATTGAGCGAATCCTTGGAACGAATTCTAGGAAACGAATCCTTGGAAACGAATCCTTGGAAACGAATCCTTGGAAACGAATCCTTGGAACGAATCTTTAAGAAAGAACAATAGGCGCCTTAAAAACGGGGACCGAAAACGAGACGACTCGTCACGCTTTCTGTCCCTGCCTTTGATGTGCTTCTTCTTCTTTCGATGCACAGACCAGCCCCATCATCCGTTTTGCTACGGAACCTTTAAGGGAAGAGACTGGTCTTTAAGGCAAAAAACAACAAAAAAGAAAAAAAAAAAAAAAATTTTAATTTTTTTTTTTAAGAGGAACAAGCAATAAATATTTTGTCCCGAACTAATATATTGCAATAAGTCTCTTTTATCTTGAAAACATAGTAAAATGAGTCTGCGCATGTTTTCTGCTATTACTGTATTTACTTGCAGAATGAAGAAACTTTTTTTTCCCCGAAAAATCAAAACATAATGGGGGGTGCGTTTATTACACGGGGTAAAACTTTTGCATTTACACACTTTGCACAAATGTCATTTTAGCTGCCAATGTGACACGGCAGGGTACTGTGGCACGTCTCCACTGACGGAGGCACACCCTCGGCTAGTCATGGTAGCGCCACAGTAACCATGCTCTATAAATTGCAAACCTTACGGAACTTTCGGCGAGCCTTTTTGCCAAAGGCTAAACGCCCTACGAAGCTCACCAAGCACAGAGAGCGACGCGACTGTTCTGAGGCCTAACCACGTTTATGATTTCACTGTCTGCAAGCGGACCACAGACAGCGGTGTGTTTGTTTACATACACCTGACGGGCGAAACGTGTCGGGCCAGGCAATTCCTCTACTTCACTGTTGATCACCTCCGCAACTACACACTTGCAGCCATTACGAGCGCGTATACTGCTATGCTTGACTTGGCTTCGTTTGAGCCAGCTGCTTGGCAGCAAAAGAAAATTGGCTTCGTGGGCTTGGTGGTTGGACGCAGTTCGAGACTCACTGAGCCGAAAACTGAAGGTGTGTTCATTACGCGAGGGAAAAAAAGTCAAAATACCGACACCCGTTGTGGGGGTGCGTTCATTATGCAAGTAAATATGGTTTTTCAATATTAAATATGTAAACACTTTGATATTTTATGAAAGCCCTATCTCCACTTTCACGCATCCAATCTTAAAAAAGAAAAAGTCAAATTTATTTGATTTACTACTAGATGTATTCCTTAACGTTGATTGATCAATATGTCCGATCACTGAGAACAATCAGCAAGAAATAACTACTGTAGTACAGTTTAATTAAATATTTTTATATTGATGTAATCCCCACCATTTGATTTTTCTTTTGCATTCTAACTTGATTACAATAGGACACTCCTCTTCTATGTTAGTTCCTTTTGCATTCTGATTTTGTTGCTATAGGATGTTACGTAGCTCAGGAACAAAGTGGAAAATAGAAATCAAGCTCAACGCTCCGATTTGCTCGAGAGAGCACTTCTTTTTGCTCGCGTTCAGCCTATATACATTTTTCACGCTTGATAATTCTTTGATTTCAATACAAAACAAATGCAGATAGGAAGCATCAAATAATAGACAAATGTAAACAAAAAAAAATATTTGGGACTGTTGTTTGCAGGAAAGGTTTGATATAAATAATCATGATAAAACTGACCTGATTTAAACCTTAGTGACTTTCATTCTCCACCCTTCCGCAGGGTATTCAATAAGCTGCATAAATATGCTAAATATGGCGTTTTTACACTTTCTGCAATAGATAATTTTCAAACAAAATTCAAGTTTTATATATATAAAAAAGCTATAAATCATCCTAAAGCTTTCATCTATCCCTTATTGGACTTCACAGAGCTTCCAGTTTACTGAGGTATGTTTATTTTCTGATTTCAGTATTTCAATATGTCTTACTCCTTCCCATAATCTGCAAATGATCCGAGGGTCCCGCGTACAAATCGATTTATACGCAAAACTATCGTGCCATTTCCAAACCAAATTTAGCAGATATATAGGAACATACAATGTGTGCCAGCAGTATAGTAGTTATCCCATATTTTATTTTTGGCATATGTCCCAACCCCTTTAAAAAAACCTTAGAAAAGAGCAAAGTTGTTCGACACAGATCGCTCCTAAGCAACGAACAATGTCCACTGCACGATCTTACTGTCACTAGGTTTTACTACGTTCGTTGTTTGCCATACCTGCCAAAGACGACCTCTATCATTCCGATCTTTAGTGCAACATTTGGTGGCAGATGCTTTAGTGACCAAATCTGCTAGATTCCCAAATGTCCTATTTGGGCATCTGACTCGTCTAACGTTGCTTGAGCTTCCAGCAACCAAACTCGAAGCCCAGAATCCTATGGGCCCCGTGTTTACCTAATATTTGTGCGTAGCTTACTGGGCCCATTTTACATGGCAGACTTCGAAAACTAAATTCCCATATTAGTCACAAATCACATAACAGTTTGCCACTGTAGTACCTCAATGGCGTCGCAAGCGTTACCCTCATCGACAACAACTCTGCCAACAGTAAGTAGAGATAACATCCCCACGACCCTATCTTACCACAAAAATTAGGTTAGGTTCCGTAAACATAAACTCCGGAACATTTTGGACCACCAGAAGAAAGCACCAATGCAACTCGACAACCGCTAAAAATCCTGCAGCCCCCAAAACGGCCATTTCTCCCGCTAAACGGTTCGGAAAACCGCTAAACTGAGTGGGAAGACCATCAAACCGACAACCACAACTCTCAAAGAAGGGTAGCGGCATTTATAAATAAATAAACAAATTGAACGGTACAGCATTGTTATCTCGTAGGCATAGATGATACTCGGAAATCCTTCCCCCCCTCCCCCCGGAGAGCGGGTGAGCAAGAAAGGTGCCTACATAGCAGCTCACCACCAGGCCGTAATGCTTGAGTATGTCCATCTTGCACATGGGGCAGGAACGCTGCTCCAGGAGCCACGGGTCCACGCACGACTTGTGGAACGTGTGCCTGCAATGCCCACAGGCCCCGGACATAAGTCTAGCAAACTGACTTAGATAGCTTAGTAGATAGATGGTCTTATACTTTGTTTCAGCTTAAGAGGGCGCGGTACCTCTATTTATTCGTCCGTTTCAGCCACCAGATGGCGCGCGGCTCGAAACGTGGTTGAACGCGCAACTTCTAGATGGCGCCAGTATCGAGGTGTGAAAAGGCCCGCGTTATCCGCTGCGTGAAATAGATCCCGAAATGTGCCGTGTTCTCCTGGCGGAGGAAGTTTCTCCCTCCCTCGCGCGCGCTTGGTATGTACGCGCGGTGGCCGAGTCCGGCCTCTGCGCTTGTGATGCAGTGGGTGGCGCTCGTTTCTGTTCGGAGGTAGGAATAAAAATGCCGGTCCCCTTTTTTACGACGCTCGTTTCTATAGCTTGTTTTTCTTCTCTTTTTTTTATCTCAAGTGACCTACAGTACCGCCTGTTCGAAATCGTCCTTTGCGGTGAGCGATTGAGAGTCAGGTTAGCATTTTATTTGGGTCCGCACTACACGTTCAATGGAGACCTCGGGCGGCGATGTAAATATGCATTGCTCCCCAAAGTGTGTCCAAGGTGCGCAATGACAATTGGAAAGGGTATTGAAGGCGCGCGACCGTCGGTAGGTAAAATACGTGCGTCAGATTCACTTATTCAGTCTAATCATTTTTGCCAACGTCTTTTATCTGTTTCGACAAATGACATGGTCGAGTCTATTGATAACCTTAGCTAGATTGGACGTACGGAGTGTCCGCGCTTTAAATAAATTTGCTTCGTTTATGTGAATGAATAACTGTTTTCTCTTTTCCGTGCTCGGTGCTATGCAAAAATTGCTGAGATGTTATGGTAGCTCAGTGTGGCGGCGTTTTGCACGCTGACTCGCTATTGCATTCGCTGTGCACAATATGTGTTCAGATGGAATGTGCCAAATCGTATTTCCGATCGATATGATAGATTTACTTTGCTACAGTGTTAATTATATTTTCCTGATTTAAACTGGTTCGTCCCTGATCTGAGCCTAAGTTCAAATTCGAAGGGCAGACAGACTTAGCGTCGTAACAGCCGTAATGCGCAGAAAGAAATTAGTACCATGAAAGAAAAACAAAAGGATACGAGGTGGCTCAGTGTTATAGAAGTAATGAGTGTGCAAAAAATGCCATCGTACGTGTTTTTTTTTTTTTTTTAACTCTCCGCATCGCTGGGAAACGCTCAAGGTACCAGCAAAGACAGCAAACTGGCGTGAAATTTCCATCGAGCGGAAAACGAGTGTCATTTTTATTTCATCATGCACTTTCATTTTGATATGGCTCAAAATGGGCGCGAAATAGTAACAGGTAAGGCAACAAAATTTAGATGTTAGGTCTGGAGCACCGCCATACCCAGCCGTGTTGGGGGCATCTCTCGCGAGTCAATACGGCAAAGGTATTGCGCGTCGAACTGTACGTGAGAGTTATCCATTTCAGCGAAACCTTGATTTCGCAAAACTATTGTGGCTCGAGTCGTGGCTTCCAGTACTTGGAAGCCACGAGCGAGAAATAAATGACAGTTGATTTTGAAGGACAATCGCGACGTGGAAACCCATAAAAGAGAGTTCCAATAAGACGAGAGCTTCCCCTTCTCTTCAAGTGCGTGGGTTACGCTCTCAATCCTGCACCTGTGGTAACACTGCAGGCTCCTAAAATCGCTTTGAAAACGTTCCTGATCGCAACAACTTTTTTTTTTTTTGTCGAGGCGCTATTTCATTTTTTTTTTCTTTTTGTCTACCTTGATACCCCATCAGCACAAAAGCTACCAATAACTAAAAAAAAAAAAAATAGTGGGCATACAACGACAACGCACCCACTGGGACCCGAGTCAAGGCAAGAACAACTAACTACTAAAAGGGGAAAAAAATCATGTTCGCATACACGGACAGAACGCCTCCATCGAAAGAAATGAATCATGCGCTTGTTCTGCCAGTCTCGTTGTGCGTCTGTCAAAAGCCACAAAGGAGGAAGACAATCAGAGCCTAAACCACTCCCCTCCCCCCCCACCACCCCTAAAAAGAAGAAAAAAAAGGTTTCTTGGGCGCGCGCGCGGTCGCCCAAGCGATGACCTTGGAAGGGTATGCGATTGTAGCACGTTTGTCCCCCGGTTGTGCCCCTGTCTCAAATGCCACGGTCCGTTTCTCCCAAGTGCCTGTCTTATCTTCCCGAGTATCAACTCCGCAGTGATTCTGAATCATTCCGATGCTTTCCAACGTTGCAAAACTGTTAGACGAATATTTGCACAGAAGTATACACTGTTCGCAGAACTATCTACGGCGCTAAAATTCAAAAGCGCCGTGTTGGATTCGGGAACTCGTGTAGGTTTAGCTCCTTGCTGGAACATTCTTATTCGCTCGATGAACTCCACAAAACGTGTAAATATTAGAATGAACTTTCCAGAGAACGATAGTTGTTGTCGGGGTTCCAGGCGACCGGACAGGTCGCAATTATTGGCTGATTAAAAATTTTATTTCATAATCACAATCGTATCATCAAGGGCACGCCATTTCCTCATCACTTCTTCTACGAAAAGAGTTGCTGTATTCGTAGCACACACAGACGGAAACGGTTGAGACTGTGCCCAAATAATATCTTCTTTTGGCAGGTACTGCGCAGCGATTACACACAATACCTCTAACATAAACATGCTGCTCCACATGTCTATTCACAAGATGCAATACATCGTTCTCCCAACTTTGTTGAAATGGCCATGAAAGCGCGTAACCGTCACTTTTTTGAAGTTCTACTTAGAGGTGAAGTGTTTACCGTAAAAAGTCGTTAATTATTTATTTTTTTCCGTTCCACTACAAAGCTCGATTCCCTTAAATTTTTGTTTTTATATCGTCTCTACAGCGTTTTTACGTCGTTACTTTCGTGCATCACATACTGTGCGAAAAAAAAAACAACAAAAAACGGTAGGATCGATGCTGCATAGCCTTTTTTTTTTTGTGGACATCAAGAAAAAAAAAAAAGATAGTAGTTGTCTTCACTTCGCACTGCATGTTTTAGCACGGAAGTTCCTATTTGGTTATGATGTCTTTACTTTCTTAAAAATTGTATACAGTAATTTAAATTACCGAATTACAAAAATGTCGAAATTGTATAGACGCTTTCAGCGAGTCAGTTACTCGAGCTGCCACCAGTCGGCGCGCCCTTCGCGCGCTTTCCGGGCCGCCATAGCCGACCTTCATTTTTGCGCCGTTGCTCCGCGTTGTGTGCTGCACAGGCCACTACCGGAGCTTCGTTTTCGTGTTCTTTTGCGTTTCGCGTTGAAATCTTGTATTTTCTTTAGGTCTTTTCGATATTTAGGACTTCCATTTAATCATTCGATATTTATATTTCGACATAGCTCTTGTATTTTCTTATTTATGGAATGGAATCGGACAGCGAATGGGTCGACGATACACGATTATGAGGCTTCAATGACCATGTAAGTTCATGCCATTCTTACGTTTTTGTCGCTAATAAAGGGCGGTAACACTATTGCGACATATGTAAATTGCAACTGACGCAGTAAGGCTATCACAGTCGTGCTTCTCGCTGCATGTGCGCGCTCGTTTCCGTGAAGCCGACCCGCATGTAAGCGATTTAGCGCGCGATGAGACGAGCAACGCAGATTTCTCACTGTCGCCCGTCGCATCGCTCGGTTTTTGGATTTCTAGAAAACGTCGCTCACCGTCTTGGTCGCTTGCTCCGTCGCTTCCATGCGGTTTGCCTCGTCGTGCGACTGAATGAGCGACAGCGAAGCGGGTTGCCGTCGCTTATCTGGTCGCTCGCCAAATCGCTTACATGCGGTTTATACTCAATTAATTTCGATGCACACAGTATGTAACCATTGGCGCCTCGATATTAAGAATAAACCGCAAGCAAGCGATTCGGCGAGCAACGAGACAAGCGACGGTGACCCACTTCGCTGTTGCTCGGGCAGTCGCGCAACGAGGCAAACCGCATGAAAGCGACGGGAGCAAGCGACCAAGACGGTGAGCTACGAAACCCAAAAAACCAAGCGATGTAACAGGCGACAGTGAGAAATCTTCTTCGCTGACTGTCGTCGTTGTCGCCGTCGCTCGTCTCGTCGCAGGCTAAATCGCTTACATGCGGGTCGGCTTTACGGAAACGAGCGCGCACATGCAGCAAGCAGCACGACTGGATAGCCTTTCTGCGTCAGTTGAAATTTGCATATGTCGCGATAATGTTGACTGCCCTTTATTAGCGAGAAAAACGTTAGAATGCGACGAATTTACATGGTTTCTGAAGCCATAATCTTGTATCGTCGATCCATTCGCTGTCCGATTCCATTTCATAAATAAGAAAATTCAAGAGCTATGTTGAAATATAGACATCAAATGATTAAATGAAAGCCCGAAATATCGAAAAGACCTAAAGAAAACACACGATTTGAACGGGGAACGTAAAAGAACGCGAAAACAAAGCTCTGGTAGTGGCCGGTGCAGCACACAACGCGGAGGAACGGCGAGAAACTGAAGGGCGGCTATGGCGGCAGGGTCACGTGACGTCAAGATGGCGGCGCCCATGAAATGTTGCCTGAAAGGGTCTATAATTGCTTTTCGTTGGGACGCCATGACGACAGCGACACTCGTGTTCCCTCGTGGCTTTCGCCAGCCTTTCTACGATGAATTGCCAGGATCGCGAGATGCAACAGCGTGACACTCCGTCTTCTGTGACGTCATTTGTTGCACTTCGGAACCACTTTTGATGTATGGCCAGCATAAGACGCTAACCACACCAGTCAGAGACGCGCTGCAGGTGCCATAGTACTGCTCCTAAAAGTAGCTGTCACGTGCTTTGCTCCGCGACTGTGATTCCCTCACAGCAGCCCTGACTGAGGGTTACCAAATTAGGGTGAAACGGAGTATAGACAAAACAAACCGGAAACGAGCTGCCAGCATACGATAGTCAAACTCCAACAAAAAGGATTAGTTTCTTCCCAAGCTGGACG